TTCGAGCGAGACAGACGCAATATGAAAGCTTGATTACCTTGGTTTACTAGGTAATTAAAACAATAATTAATGGATATTCCGCTGAATCCGATAGAAAAACGAATAAGTAAACGCTGTGGCCCAATCCATTTCAAACGCTCTGGATTTCCCTCGACCAATCAACCTGCAATTAATTAAAGTTAATAAATAATAAATTCTCCTCCTCCCCACTCTTTATTCTCTCACCCCAAATCCTCGCACCTCATTCACACCCCTCACTTCATATCAAAAATCCTCCATAAACCAGCAATTGGATTAATAGTCGCCTGTCGATATAAATCCTTCTTAAAAATATCCTCTCCCAATTTCAGATGTTGAAAATTTTTGATTTGCCATGATTTCACTGCCATCATGCCCTGCAATGCTTCTGGTGAATTATCCCCTAGCAAAATCCTCCTTTCCTCTTCTGCTTTTGCTTGTTGTTGCATTTGCATTTGCATTTGTTGCCAGCTATCATAGTATGTCTGATCATAATTGACATTAGCGTATAAAATGTCTGGAGCAAAGTCTTGTGGTGTGGGTGTAGCGAGTCCATAGGAAAATTGGTTGTGGGAGGAAGGATCCAAAACGTATCCGGTGCTGTATTGTGCATTTATGTGTTGATTCCCGCCAAAAGGATCATATGCGTTGTTGTTTAGTGTCTGGAAACTCGTGTCGATTCCGGTATCCAAATTCCAACAACTTAATTCCAGTGGGTTGACATTCTTCGTATTCGCTTTCAAAACTTCCAACATCATCCCATATCCTCCATGCCTTATCTCAGTGATCCTCTGTTGCCATGATGTACCCCATATTCTCTCTTTATAGGGTGATGGAATGGCTACCATCATATCTATAAACACGACTGCTGATATTGCAAGTGAACATGCCGAGAGGAATGAAGGTAGCCAATCGCGGCGAGATCGAAAGTCTGAGGGAGCGAGCGCGAGTGCCTGATATTCTTTAAAGGCTCTGCGCATCGTACTACGCGTAGTGCGAATTTTTTCGAGGAGGCTGAGAACTGGAATAGGTGGTGCGGGCACAGTAGTTGTGATGAAGCATTTGTATAGTTCGCAGCATTCGATCAAAATTCTGCAAGAGGCTTCAAGAGATTTGTTCTGTTCAATTGTATCAGAAACGACGCTTTTGATAACTTTCTACAAACAATTTGAGTATGATGAACAAAAGTACTCACGGGTTGGAGAATAGATTCTTGGTATGTTTGAGCTATGGCCATTAGATCTGAGTATTTTTCGTCGAAAACACCAGTTGAACGAGCCTGTTCTTGTGCTAACACGAAATGATCTCTAAAGACAGCATTGTCAAAATCGTGATCGAAGGCTTTTTCGGCCCTCTCAGCCGAGAACATGCGCCATGTTTTGGTCTTCAGCGTATCTCGAGGAATAGCGCGGAGATTTTCTTCCATGTGTGCTAAAGCATGATTAGGTTCTGCATATATCAAAAATGGATGGAAGGAGAGCAAACATGGTAGAAGATATAAGACCAAGCTTTCTAAGTTTTCCGTTCTCGTTCCTTGGGTACTTGGAGCAACATTGAAATTTGATACTCGGATACAGGAATCACAGAATCCTGATATTAAGTGCTATTGTGTGGTAAAGTCAGTTGTCGTTTCACAATGCGGGTTCTTTTTCTATCGATAAATAAGGGACTGTAAAAGAGATAAAACATACATTAGAATTGTGTTTACGGCATCTCCAGCAAAGCGAAGCATCACTTTCCCACCATTCGGAGTTAAACGGAGCGTGTGAGAGAGGAGCAGAGGTTTGTTGACGTCGACGTTTGGCTTTGGCAGTCCTTCTAGGGCGTGATAGATGAGGCTCAGGAGATGGGGAAGGGCTAAAAGTCTGTTTCCGTTTTCCTTTGGAGGACGAGACAAGTGGCACAGGACCTATTGCAATTTCTAATGGCTCAGAAAATACATCAACATTTCCATAAAGAAATGGGTTCTTCACATCTGCGGTAGTAGTGGGTTTGGCAGGAGGTTGATGAGGAATTGGTCTTCATAAAGATGTTAGCCAGCATCTATCTACTTGTATAAGAAGATACTGACTGTGCATGTTGAATTTGTTGATGAGTATAGTGGTAATCTGGAGGACCTTGTCGAAGAGGTAACACATGATAAGGCGGGGATTGCGGAGCGAGTGTCGATTGTGTATTATTATATTGACGAGAAACATGTGCCTGAACAGGTACCGGGGCTAAATATTTAAGAGCTTCTGGTAGCTGTTTGGGATTCGACTTTTTACTTAAGTGAGCAGCTGGGTCAAGTGCATGTGGACCATCCAATAGATCGAGTAGAGATTCTTCTGTCACGGAGGATCGTTCTAAACTATTTGGATCACAAGATGCTCTGGATGTATCGGATCCATACTGGTATCCCAAGTTCTCCTCCGGTAATTGAGCCATATACCCAAAGTTAGGATCGTTGAACCCATCATCGAAGGTCCATTGCTCAGTCGTGTTAATGATATCTTGTTGGGCCGGGCCTTGAAGTTCTGAGGCGGTGACAGCAGAAGCGGGGGCGGGGATGGAAGAATACCCGTAAGCCTCAGACCGACCTTGTTGTTGTTGTTGGTTTCTTTCATTCATACTTTGAACCCAATCTTGATTTCGGTTTGATTAGAATGCTACCAGAGAACTGGGTCATGGCTTGTTTTAATTATTTGAAGAGATAGTTTGTGGATCAACTTGGCGATCAAGCGGATAATCATCAAGTCCGGTCCAATTTCCGTTGGTACGGATTACACAAAAAATAAACGGTAGGCGCACTCCACAGTTCGGAGACTTAGTCACACGATTGATATCGCCTCAGGGGTTTGATGGTTTTATTGCTGCTATGTGTTGAGTTGATAAGTACCGAATGTAACCTCTATGAGCCGGCACAAGGAACATTCGCGATATATAATAAAAGCTTTCTTGGTTGATGGTTATATGCAAATATCATGATATCAATATATTACTCCAAGAAATATTACAATAGTATAAAGCAACATCCGGAGCTTGCATTAGAAGCTTAGATTCATCCATCTGGCTAGGACTTGTTAGCAACGGCTTCTGACGAATACTTTTTATTAGCTTCGGCAGAGATAGGAAAAGGAAAGAAAAAGTTCAAGAAAAAATACATCTATAAAAAGCAAGTCGATGCTTTCGTGCACTCCGAATCCTTGGCATGCTCCTTCCTAGTGGCTGTTAGTGTTCCTTATGTCGCGTTTGGTTCCCCTGCCTTAGCTTGAATATCTACTGCATAGAAGAGTGACAATTACCCCCGCTACTTACGTTTCTTTTGAATTTGTCAAATCGTCTTTCAAACAAAACAAAAAGCTAGTTAACTCAATATCAAGATCTAAGTTGCCCGCACAGCTCTCATGCTCATAATACTGAGGATGGATGCATGAGATGGAAGATTTTTACCCCTTCATCAAAAGCACTGATCATTAACGAAGCGACCGTCTGCAACAACATCGACAAGTGTATTGAGATTTGTTGCTGTGAGCTCAAAAACAAGGATCAGCAAGACCATGAAATATGGAACACTCGAAAATAAAGTTATTAGACACGATAGATTGCTCTTTTTAAACTCGAAATTCAAGCAATCACCTTCGGATGAGTCTGCGCAACCCCCACGGTTCGCTCCAGCCTCTAGAATTCTTGAGACACTTTTCACGGACTAATGGATCTATTGTTGTTATCAATGTCTCAGTGACATTGATAATTTCTCCATAAACACAATCTTCAAATGCGATATTTATCCTACGGAGTAAGGTACGTGTGCACCTACCCCTCACTCATTCGGTATATGATTTTCCGGCGAGCCTCCATTTTCGCATTTAACGTCACAATAAAGCAACATCGACTTCCTGTAAAACAAAAATGAAGGTGTTCTTTGATCAAAGATTTACAACTTGAATAGGATTCGGTTCTAACTAATTCCTCCAAGATTTCTTGTCTTTGTGATTTCATAATTTAATATTCAAGAAGTTGTTTTTGGTACATATCCGCGCAATCATGAGTGAAGGGGAATGGCCATCGCAGTCCGATCAGTCTACGAGGACAACAGATACCGAATTGCAAGTCCTCAACTTTCAACCCGATGACCCTTCTGACCCTCGAAATTTTTCTTTCTGGAGAAAATGGAGTATTGTGGGTGTCATCACACTTATCGATTTGACAGTATCTTGGGGAGCATCAGGATACTCACCCGCCCAGGAAAAATTGATCGAGTCATTCAAAGTCAGTACTGAAGTTGGGGTACTAGGCCTTTCACTTTATATTCTCGGATTAGCGTTGGGACCGATGACATTAGCACCTTTATCTGAATATTATGGAAGGACTTACCTTTACGTAATTCCTTATGGAATATTCCTGCTATTTTTGCTCGGGACAGCTCTTGTACAGAACATTGAAGGCTTTCTAGTTTTGAGGTTCTTCTCGGGTCTCTTCGCTAGTGTAACGATTGCCAATTTTGGTGGAACTATAGCCGATCTCTGGCCAAGGGATCAAATAGGACCCGCGATGAGCATATTCCTCTGGGCCGCTGTTTGTGGAAGCCCCTCTGGATATTTCTTGATGTCGTTCATTGCAGAAGCATATGGTTGGCGTGAGGTATTTTGGGCTTTACTTGGCATCTGTGGTGGATTCTGGTCGATACTTGTAGTGGTACTTTTGGTCTTTAAGAATGAAACGAGACGTTCAGTGATATTGCGAAGACGTGCAAACCGAGCCAATAAAGCTGCTGGAAGGATAGTCGCCACAGTTCCCGCCGAAATGCGAAGTAAATCGCTGGGACAACTATTCAAAGATACGCTCTCTCGACCATTTCGTTTCCTTGGAACCGAGCCAGTTATCATTTTTGCAGCACTTTACAACGGTTTTCTCTACGGTCTTTCGTTCCTCTTCAATAGTGCTTTCAATCTGGTATTTGGCAAGATGGGTTATGGCTTCGAGACAGTTGGCGTCGGTCTTTGTTTCCTTGGAATTATGATTGGTATCAGTTTGGGTCCATTTATCAATATATGGCAGGAAAACCATTATCAAAAACGAATTCGTGCAGCTGGAATAAGGGAAGTGCAATCTGAAGATACGCTTGACCCTGAGAGATTCAAAAATATACCAGAAGCACGAGTCCAGTTGGGCAGAATTGCGGCTATTCTGCTACCTATCAGTCTCTTCTGGTTCGCATGGACCTCGCCACCTCAATACCATATTCATTGGATTGTGCCCATACTTGCTACGACTCTATTCGGGTATTCGTTTTACACACTTATTTTGATGACGTATCTATATGTTGAGGATAGTTATATGGTATTTTCGGCTAGTGCCTTGGCAGGCGTAGGCTTGATAAGAAATTTGGCGGGAGCGGGATTTCCTCTATTTGGAAAACAAATGTTCGTAAATGTGGGATATAATTGGGCAGGGACAATATTGGCATGTTTAGCATTATTGCTTGTTCCTATTCCTTTTATATTAGAGAGATATGGTCCCAGACTTAGGGCAAGGAGTTTGTTTGCTAGACAGCATATGGATGATTGATTGAGTTTATGATAATGGAAAAGAAATATATGATATGGTGATATAGATGATATAGATGATATAGATGATATAGATGATATAGATGATATAGATGATATAGATGATATAGATGATATAGATGATGTGGATAGATTTTACCGATCACTTGGCGTTGTTTCGTTTTCAAGGTCGGTTTAGAGCTTTAAAGCATATGTTTCACTCGTTCTTTTTGAGTTCTCAATTTGCAAAGACGCAACAGCAATGCTCCTCTATGCCCGAGACCATCATCACGTCGTATTTTGTTTTTGCCATCAAGGGTATTTGGTGCCACAATCACACAAGCAAGCTGAATGTCAAAAGACTAGGCCTGTCGTCGACGGAAATGAGTAATACCCAAGAATAATGTGTGCCTTGAGCGGACTCAAAAGGCAAGGTAGTGATATCGCTTTCGTTGGAAGGATCACATCTGGTATAATGTGATCCTAGCCGTGGTCGTCAATGAACTGCAAAGAGGAGAATGTCTCATGTGTGCTGGACATGTGTTTAGGCGGCAGTCTCAGCCTCAAAATGAAGGTCACGAATTTGGACGGAAGACTGAATGATTTCAGGATGACAAAGAGGATATGCTGTAGAATTTACCAAGACGGCTTCCATATCTCGAGGAAAACGATAGTCCTTACCGTCTCCGACGACACTATCAAGGTCGTCATCGGTGTCGTTTTGGCAGGACTATCAGTGTTATAGAGGGCTCGTTATCAACGCTAATATTGCGGTTGGCTGTGCCATTGCTATGGACAAGAGTCTAGTCCTCATTGCCTTTGAACTCTTCGATGCTTTCAAAATTGCATAGTCTCTCTACGGTCCTTACACCCAATAGCCCAAATCTCCTTAACTGCTCACTCATGGCATTTTGATTGACTGTAGAAATGAGCCCATTATTTCCGTCTGTTTGAGATCAAGAGCCTGGGAAGTTAATCCAATTTTGTTCTCGTAAGGTAGAAGTTATCTTTTCAAATACATCACAGTCGCAGCTATAATAGAAGACCATATTATTATCGATCCATGTTTATCCAAAGGCTGAGCCACTTCATCAACATCGATTTTGCTGGTAAGAGCAAGCCATAAGCATTTTTCATTGAGGAAAATTTAAATTCCATGATATGCTCTTCTAACTGGTCAAGAAGCAAAGGAACGATAATTTTGACTTCCGTGTGGGTACACGACTACACATCTCGGTTTCCATGACCCCCAAAGCCACGTCGTCTGAGAAGAAAAAAAAGAGAATAGAGTTCTAGATGGCAGTGGTACAATTTAAATCTTAGGCTAGCAGTTATCATGTTAAGAAACCTATTAGTAATGGAGACATTAGCTTACCGACCTCCATCAGGAGTTTGAGTTTTCACTAATAAATATCGAAATAGAAGTGTACCACCGCTATCCATCTCAGTGCGCACAGATAGTCACACTGTAGCGTAGACCCAGATAGTAAGAGCAAATGACTTCATAGTTTTCTACCCGGTGGGCTAGTTGTCCGATCAGGGCTTGGCGCCTATCGAGGGTTTTGAAGAGTAGTTGATAATATTAAATATTCTATTATTTATTTTTAATACTAATATCACTATTGTAGATTTAAAACAATGCTTTCTATTTTTATAATTTTTTTTATTTATTATTTGTTATTTAAAATAATAAATATAGCAATATATCAATATATCAATATATCAATATTATAATAATAAAAATTCCTTATCTAGTATAAAAATACTTTATACTTGTTTATAAAAAAAAAGAAATAATATTATCTTTACTAAATATCATCAAATATTATTTATGTTCAAATAATATAAAACCAAAACCACTTACTAATATACTACACAATAGAATACATTCACCCAATAAATCCCCATGTTACAACGGCTATCTTCTATGCCGCGTCACATGACTAAACCAAGGTAACGTGATTAAAGTCACGTTATGGACCGCTGAGGAACGCTGGCTGTCCAGGACCGCGCAGCGGTCCTGACTAGCCATAGGCATGAAGGTCTATATAATCAAGATGGATTCCCTTTGTATAGAGCTTCGTGCTCAAGATCAATCATTTAGTATACTCTACTATTAGTTACGAATTGCATATCATTATTGTCATTACTTAAGTCCCTGCTTGACGCCTAGTTATAAACCACCTCGAGAGCCTGGAGCACTTCCACGTGATCTAGACGGCAAACCTCGTAACACCCCACATCTAAAACCTCAGATGAATAACTATGTGACCAAAAGGGTGTTTATAGACCAGCAATTGTATCTAACTTAGAATCTACAGGTGAGTAGCACCTGTAGATGGGGATAGCTACTCTATATATACACAAATGAATGGCCTAGCCGCAATGGCTAGGCAAAAAGAAGTCATATTTATCCCTCCAATGATCTTACTTTACCGATAACCATTGATACCTAGTACTTGTCCGGATCTGATCCTCAGGTCACCTAAATCGTACACTAATCCCGAGTAATCGTATCATGTGTGGACATGGTTAATGTACCTGAGGTTTCTTATATAATAAGGGTGGGAGGAAAGCAGGGGTTTCCGTCACAAACTACCTAACAGCCAATATCCAGACGAACACAGATACAGATACAGATAAATAACAAGTGAATCATGCATCCATTAACATATTATAAACAACCCCAATGTCCGAGGTAAAAAAAAATTATCCAAAATTACTTGTAGAATAGCAGAACACCCACCTTTTTTGAACTATCAGTGAATAATTAATGAATAATGCTTCGAACCTGCTTCTTCAAACTTAACAGTTTTGATTAGGTATCTGATAGGTAGATTTCTGATCTTGTGAAAGAATAAGAATATATCTGTATAAATTCCTCTATAAGTACTTAATTTTGACTTTGACTTTAAAATCATCAACTAGGTACCTAGGTACTTCTACTTCGTCTACTCTATTCCCATAACTGCCTAAAAACTCCTCAGAAATGGATATTCAACTCTTCCCTCAACTTCTATAATCATCTCTCCTTTCAAACATATACAATCATCAGCTCCCTCATTCTTCTACTCCTCCTAGTACGTTCGTTCCCTTTACACTAACCCTTCCCCCCAGCCTAACTCTAAATCCAACTCCCCCCTCTCTCCTCCACCAATCCACCCACCCCCCTAACACCCGCACCTCACAGTACCTCCTCACCACCACCCTCCAAACCCTCTACCTGCACCCACTCTCCCCAATCCCCGGCCCCTTCCTCTGGAAACTAACCCGAATCCCGTACATCCACTCCCTCCTTTCCGGAACCCTCGTAATCAACACACGCAAACACCACTCCCACTACGGCACCATAATGCGCACCGCACCAAATGAAGCATCCTTCGCTACCGAACAAGCCTGGCACGAAATATTTCTCAACAGCAACAACAGCTCGCAAAAAGCACTTCCGCGAGATCCGGTATTTTTCAAAACGCCGCCAGGACAGGCGGAGAATCTCGTTACCACGGTACATTCTGATGTGAGTGTGCGCATGCGACAGGTGATTGGACCGGCGTTTACCGATCGCGCGGTTGCGAGACAGGAGGGGATTATACAGTCGTATGTTACGTTAATGGTTGAGAAGCTTTTGGGAGAGATTGGGCGGCCCGGGAATAGGAAGATGGGTGCGCTGGTTAATGTGGTGGATTGGATGAATTGGTGGACGTTTGATGTAATTGGGATGCTTACGTTGGGAGAATCGTTTGATTGCTTGGAGGAGACGACAAATCACCCCTGGGCGACTCTAATTTATAATTCTATGAAAAGTATGTTTATCCTCTGATATGTCCCGCAGTTTAGAACTAAAATCCCATGGCTAATTATCACAGTGATGGCATTAGCAGGCGTAATGCAATATTTTCCCAGTCTCGAGTCGCTCATTCTCAAACTGCTTCCAGCGCGCATTCGAAAAATGCAAGCAGGGCACTTTTCCAACGCGGCGGAGAAAATTCATCGTCGACTACAACGTCCGGAAGCAGCGGTGGGTGATTTCATGACTGTCATGCTTGATCAGAAGAACAATCCGAACTTTTCCAAGATGAGTATGCCTGAGATCGAGTCATCTGTTGCTCTTATGCTATTAGGAGGTAGCGAGACAACGGGCACTACCATATGCGGAACGATTAATTGTCTAATTCAAAATCCGGTCGAGCTGACGAAATTGGAATGTGAAATTCGGAATTGCTTTGATAAGGAAGAAGATATTACTTTTAGTGCTCTTCAACAATTACCGTTCCTCAATGCTGTGATAAATGAAGGTTTGCGATTGTGCAATCCCGTTTCAGGAGGTCTACTCCGGATTGTACCTCGTGGTGGAGCTGTCGTTTGTGGACAATTTCTGCCAGAAGGCGTGAGTGATGCTGATCCATTAGTTGTATACAGACATGCTAATGAAATATGACAATAGACACACGTGGCAATGAATACCATCGTGATGGCCCATTCAGAAGCTAACTTCCACCGATGTCTTGAATTCCTACCTGATCGATATCTTCCTGATAATCTCCGACCAGCAGAATTTAAAAACGACAACCGCAATATTTTGAAACCATGGGGATTGGGAACACGTAATTGTTTGGGGAGATCATTCGGACAGGCGGAATTGAGGGTGGTTTTGGCTCGTTTAGTCGGAATTTTGATCTTGAGGCTGTTGGAAACAAGCTCGTCAACTGGGATGATCTTAAAAATTATGTTGTGGTGCAGAAAGAACCTATATGGGTTACAATTAAGCCGAGGGTAAAGAAATGATTTGAAAAGTCTGGGAGTACAATTTTGCTTAGGTCTAGGTACCAAGGTAAGGTGGTATTCTGGCATCCCATAGAATTTTCAAGCAACTCATCTCGATAAACATAAATGAGTTAGTACTTCTAACCTATGAGCTCTACCTCACGAAAGCCTAGAACAAATAAAACATGATATGTATCAAACAAATACTGATAAAAGAGATCGAGTTAACATGAAGAGTGATGCGAGCTGAACAAGTATAAATGCGTAATATCAGACTATTAGCAGTCGATAAACGCATATTCTCGTGCATGAGGCCGTGCAGCCTATTCAGTGACTCACTTTGAAAGTAAAAAGAAGATCATAGAGGAAGTGGAGGCGTTAAGGGGGAGTAAATTGACAAAATAGGAAATGTATATATAAGATCTTACAACAACCAAACTGTAAATAAATCAACAAAAATCTCATCATTCAAAGACGATGAAACAGATTATAATCATAATAATCTTACCACAATTTCCATCCTATACAGACATCCACAATATCTAACCCATCTCTTTCTATCAATGTATGATACAAATAGGACCGAAGAAGATACTGGTATGACTATATATTGTTCTCCACCGACTGAGAAGAGTATATCTATATCCTCAGACCTCAATAGCCAAGACAGCACTTGCTAGATAACTAAAAGCTTCAAGACAAACTTTTCGTACACCGTTTAAGTATTACCTTCACCATCACCATCTTCGCACGACTATGAATTGAACTCGACATTTGTTTTTGAAATTACCAATTATCAATTCATTTTATTGAATGTATGCGTATTGTCTTCTACTACCTAGGTTTCCTCCATAACCATTTGACTCCCTGCATCCCTGATTCACCCTAAACTTTCATCCATCGAGTCTACATTTCTCCTATTCTCGACTTTACGCGATTCAAATCTTTCTTTGGTGCTGTTTATTCTTTACCCAACCCTCGAGACCAGAACCTCCCAGCCCGGCTACTAACCACCCACTGCCCAAGACCCATTCCAACCCGCAAAGCTCACTGGCATTAAAAACAAGCTTCTCATCTTCCTCACCCTCTTTCAACATCCCTCGAGTTACAGGTTTGTTCATGTGTACTCCCATACGCCTGTAAAATCAGATAACAATTTGTGGGCCATTTGACCACTCGAAAATAATTCAAAAAGAAAGATTCTTCGTTTTGTAGAGTCAGAATAGAAGTTGTGGTGGAGAAAATATCAATAAAAGCGTCAACCACGAAAGCTTGTGAAGAGTCACATATCCAAACTCGTGTACGTTAAGCAAGAGTAATAGACCACTCGGTTCGGGATAGCGACGCATGAGAAAGATAATAAAAACTGGTGAGTATGGGTATTTGATAAGTATTAAATCAGAGGTGAAAGTCCTCATCCTTATTCTCCAAGGGTTATCAAGAGAAAGTAATGTCCTTGCTTGACCAGGGAGTTAGAGGAGCTGAGATGTTTGTGTTGGCAATGGCCTATTTTCAACTCTTGGCTTTCGTGGCCCTCCCTTTAAACTCTTGACTCTGGACAAGAATCCACCGTTTGATGCGGACCCTTTGGTAGATTCCCCCATACTGTCGCTAGTAACACGTCTTTCGATTCCGGGGGGGTTAGAAGGAGCGCGAGAGCGGCCAGGTCTCGGTGGCAATTCAGCGAATGTGACGAACTCCTCCTTGATAGTATCATCCCCTTTGCCAAATTCATTGAAGAATGGGTTTGCTTCATTTGCTCTACTTCCACCAGGGGTGTACCCATCTGGAGAAATTGAAGTGTACATGCCTTCTGGGCTATTCATTCTCCCAGAAGGTCCGTAGTCGCGTCGGCTGTTGATGCCTCGGATCTTCTGCGCCAATGACTTCTTTCGAGATAGGCCACCATCCATACCAAATTGCTCATTCTGATTCTTTTGAACAGCTGCACGAGAAGCTGGGGCACCCTCAAGGAAAGTAGAGGTTCCAAGACCCATCGACTCCTCACCATGGACTGGTTCAACACGGCTGGTTGCACTTTCAATGGCAGATTCTGTGCGGCTAGGCATACCAGGGCGATGCCCATAAGGTTGGAAATTGTCGACTTTATCTCCTCCACGGGAATAATCGAGATGTGCTTCCGCATCGTTGTTGCCCATAAATGTTGCATGATCAGGCTTCTGGTTCAAAGGTCCTCCGCCACCAAGCGAATTGTTGGCTGAATCCTTAGCAAAAGCTTGCATTGGTGCACGTCGACTTCCTGTTCGATTACGGCCTGGCAAGCAAGCATCGAATGGTCCATCATGATGGAATGCTAAACATGGCTTGTCAGTAAGGGCTGGCATGATCGATCACGATAACCTACCTCCAATTCCAAAAATGCTCGTGGCATCTAATTGATCGATAACATCTAGGGGTGCCTTCTTCTTGGTCTTGTCTTGCGCACGCTTACGATCACGATGTCTCTTTTCTTTCTCTAAGCGTCTGCGTTCATCTTCTGGGTCAAGTAATCTGGGCTTTCGGTCCATGATGGATGTGTCCGAATTACGTCTTGCTCTTCGTTTTGGGCTGTCGCTGGGATCGGCAAAGATATCTAGCTCTTCTTCTTTGCGGGGTTTGCTTGAGGATGGTTTCCCGGCTGGTCTTCTCGCACGCATCGTCTCCTCTTGGGATCGCATTGGTCTATGACCTGATGGTCGTCCTGGTGGAATGTTTTCAGCCTGTTGATTTGCGGACGTGTTTGAGCGCATCAATCCCGGTTTTTGACTTCTGTCCGGGACAGGTTTATCTCCAAGTGTCAGTTCGTCCTACATTTGATGTCAGCGATGTGTTTTTATGGAGGCTTGTTTTAGGCTGAGCCCTCGTGAACATGCTTGCGTGTGTTCACAAGACTTCACGCCCATCCAACGCCATTAGGAGAAGGGCGTTGGCATTCTTGGATAAACGTACAAATAAATCCGCAGCGTGCCCAGTCAGAGCTGGGCCTGATGAACTTGGGCTTGTTCGAGAGAATGCCATTTTGTCTGGTGATGATGTTTGGTTTGTAGCTGGAGAATCGAGAAATGGATTCCGTGATAAAGGTCGTGGAGGAGGTTCTCGGTGGGCACGTTGGGTAGAAGAGGACATAGCTGGAGACACGGCTCGATTCCTAAAGGGGTTGTTGGATGATAGGTTGGTTGAGAGTCCAGGCGATCGATTCCCTGTTTGGAAAACAAGATTCAAAGGTCAGTCCTAGGATTCATGCTTGTGGATGATGAGATATAGCAAAAGTGAAACGCTGAATGTCCAACTTGATACAAGCCAACCGCTCATAAGTGGGGATGGCAGTTTTGTCGTCGCAGGCCTCGCGGCGCATATATTACAAGAATGATTTGGACTTACCATCGTAATCTGGTTGGATAGAGCTTAACGACATGGTGACAGTGGTTGTGATGACGACACAAAGTCCAGAATTAATTACTGTAATAAGTTGACGATGGGTTGATTAAAAGGATTCAGGGGATTTGATCCGTTTTACTTTTGAATTTGAGGTCGTCGTATTGGCGTAGAAAGTAAAGATCCTCGTTCCTCGTTGCTTCTTGGAAGGATGTTCGAAATGTTTGATAGGTTTTTAGTTTGGGAGAACAAGGAGATGACTGTTCTGTTTGTCTGTAGGAGATTAGGAGGTTTCTTGAAGTAATGACTCTGGTTCTGGAGATTGGATGATTTTGGATGATTGATGATTGATTCTTGTGGTTTCCTCCGGCTCTCCCTCTTCTAACTAAAGCCACCACCACGTGCACGAATGATTAAATTGATAAAAGGGAACTAATAAAAATAATAATAAAAATAATAATTAAGAGAAGGGGAACAGACTGATCGATTTTGGTCCGTGTCAGGAAACGGTGAATTCCTTAGCGACCGAGGCCCAACCAGTTTAACCAGCGAACCAGCACTAAAATTTATGTTTGAGAATTGTAGGCTTGATTGGATACCAGTGTTGATAATCAAAATGTGATAATTCCTCTTCCCCCTTAAAGGAACGTGTGATGTCGTTTTTCTTTGGTCCTTATACTTCAAGTCTCAGGACGGATGGTTCGCAATCAAAGCGATTAATCCTTTTGGAACCTTAAAAGATGGTAGGGAACGGATAGGAGGGGAAGGGATGTGGATGGGGGGGGGGGGAGATGGGACGTGAGATGCGAAAATGCTTGATGCACAATCGTAATCTTATATCCCCGTTTGCCTCCCTTGATACCTCTGTCACTAAATTTGATTCGAGGAATTTGTATTAGCTGTGGGTTCGATTTCGAGTCGTTGACGATCTTCAAATTTAGTAATTGTGGTTCCTCTCCAAATTCCTTGTCAATTTCCAAAGTACAGGTAGGGAAATGAGGGTGAAATCGTTCAGGAGTCGAAGATAGTATCGATTCGTAAGTTGGGGGTCTGCATCGAAAGAAAATGAAGGGTGAAATGAAGTTTGATGTTCGAAAATGTTTGATTGATTGGGCGATGAATGAATGGATGTATGTATGGATGGATGGATGCACGAATGAGGATGAGAGGTTGAGGTTGTACGAATGTATAAATTCAACGGTTTCCTCTCCCAATGGAATGAAGGAGTTGAATAGAAGAGGGAGGGAAGAATCGGGAGTTGTATGCGAAATCTAAAGTGTAATATAGAGCGCGGAATAAATGTTCGTCCTCTTCCTTTCGTGTCTATTTCTGTTCTTTGCCTGATCTGTATAGGATATCGGATTGCAAGGTATGATTGCGAATGTCGTAACCAGATCGAACTTAAAATAGGTACCTAGGTAAGAAGGCTATCTATTCCGAATTATCCAAACGAATAGAATAGGTGAAGGTTTTATGGTATGACGATGGAACTTCTCGAATTGTAATAACAATAGGTGGATGAAGAACGATTGATATTAGAATCTTGTACTGTTATCGAGTATTGCACAAACTAATTGTAAATGAGGTATGTTGATGAAGTTGTGTAGTGTAGAAACTGTACTGAGTAGTAGTAGTAGAAGTAGTGTGGTCAAGAAGAAGTTGGATATTGATGAAGTCTCTTAGGTGGCAGGTAGGAGGTATGTTATGTTGAAGAGAAGAAGGTTTCTTCCTTTTTGGGTAGATTATGAGGATTATGAATGGTTAAAATATCAGATGGGCAGCTGAGGTAGCTCTTGACCTTTACATCACACTTCCTTCTTATTACAGTAACTATCAGAAGATAACCGATATATCATCGAATCTATGGATAATAGTATCCCTAGGTAGGTATCTTGCTCTGAGTCTTTTATCTTCTTCAATCTTCTTTCTTTCTGTTGTACTCTGCACTCTACTCTTTCCTTTTGCATAGCCATGCCAATATCATGAGATTTTCTAAAAAATACCCTGATCCGGACAAGGAAGGTGCTTGAGAGTCCGGAGAACCCTTGTTAACCTTTTTGACATTGTCATTTTCACGAAATACGAAATCTCACTAAATAATGCAAAGCCTCATTCTTAAAAAGCAGGTACGACTCTGTACTCCCTCCCGTACGACCAGAATGTGCAGAGTAGCCCCAAAAGAGTTACGAGGAATCCGCCACTTTTACCCACCTTCTGTATGGATCCAGCTGGTCTTTATTTTAAATTATCGATTGCCATGAGGAGGAATTGGTTATGTTTTAGCCGATTATTCCGTCAAAAATAATAGGTGTCGATCAGAGGGAAGCACTACTTGCTACTATTTGATAGAAAGTCAACCCCATCCGAGCCCGTGGAGGAACGGATTTCCCCTGATGAGTTAGTTCTGACGAGTCTCCAGATGCAATGATCCAATGATCTCAAGTTTGCTACCCATAACCATATCAGCAGGTTACTTTTGAGTTAAATGGCGCCTTCCTAGTATGTGCTGTTAGAATTACTATTAACCCGCTCCTTCTCAAGGGATTTAAGTGAGTGAGGTGCACGATTGGACGATTGGTAAATTCATATAAGAGTACTGTAAAGAGTACTGTATCTAGTACTTAGTAGTGCCAAGAATTCATGATATTTCGGATTCTAGATTCCTTGAATAGAACATCCAGATTCCATACATTTGGATCTTTTTTCTTTTTTTTTTCTCAACAAGGCAAATATCGAAATTTATGCTGGCTACCTACCCACATTTTGACAGAAATACCGAGAACTGGAGATTCCAGCATCCAAGTGGATCTACTACCGGTAACTAGTATCACTACTCCGTACGGAGTAGAAAGATCTCAAGTAAAGAGGGGTCAATAAATAGGGGACCTATGATAGCTTCAGGTACGAAAAACACTTGGACAACTAATAATTACGCACTCTACTTTTGATTGATGTATATCTTCTCATTTTAAGCTTCAAAGCACCAACAGCCTGTGAAAGGCAAAAGTCTAACCTCAAAAGACAAACAAAACAGGCTATGAAGTATGACAGCTTCATATTTCATGCAGCAAGAATCTAATAATCAATCTAGAGGAGTCTTCAAAAGCCCAGATTCATGCAATAGGAATATCTTCCGGCATAAATATGTTAATTGTATCCATCCATATCCTAAATACCAATCCCAGCTCTTAAATATAGTTGTTCTTTAAGATAAATTGGATAAGTCCTGACTAATAATCAACATCCTGGCCTTATCAAGCTTATCAGATCTTCTTGAATCCCTTCATGAACTTCAAGCAAAGAATTATCGCAACGCATCAAAAATCCCTCCCTCCCTTCCTTCCATCAATTATCCCCGCTCATCAAAGCTTTGCGAGCAGGAAACTCAATCCCCAATCTACAATTTGGAAAACTCTATTAATTAAAGGTTGCAAATACGTCATCAAACTTTTTACCCTTCCCCTTTCAAGCTGCCTGCCTCAACGTTCCGCGAAACATCTGCATATTTTCCCAGGAACAACCGCGAACCCTTGCTTCACCGGTAACACTTCGCACTACCTAACATACCAAAGCGCAAACCCAACGCGAAATCAAAATGACGACAATCAATTCTCCTCCACAGGATGTTAAGATGGAGGGTAATAATCGTTCAACACCTTCGGTAATAGGGGAGAATGAGGAACCAAAGTTTGGAGGTTTCACGAGGTTTGAAATTGAACTTGAGGTATGTTTGGGTGTTTAAATTTTTCTTGAGTGCGTGGGGGGAGACAACGGTTGGTGAAGCTACATAGACTATACCCCTCACGTCGAAATGGGCATGGTATGAATGTTGATATCCTTCACATTTCATCCTCTCTTCCACAATCCCCACGCTCTCTTCTTTCTTTACCTCTTTTACTCAAAGCATTCTGATGCCTCGATGTGCTAATCGTCCAATAGTTCGTAAATGCCATCTCCTCACCCTTTTACTTAATGCACCTGGCCTCCTTGTCCTCCGGTACTCTACTCAGCTCTCCACCCTTCATTGCCTACCTCAAATACCTCCAATATTTCACACAACCTCCATATCTCAAGTTCCTCACATATCCCGGACCTAGTCTCAAACACTTGGAATTATTACAAAATGAAAATTTCAGGAGGGACTGTTTGAGCATCGACGTGGTGAGTATGCTTGCCAGTGAGGATTTGGCGGCGGTGGAGAGGTGGAGTAGGGAATGAGAGACGGAAGGAATGGTAAAATAAGAAGTCACGAATGTTCAATTGGTAGGACCCTCAGATTTAGGTGTAGCAGCGTGTGTTTCAAAGCAGGTTTCGCTCTCACCCTCCATCCTTGGGATCTCAGCATGGAACTGATGCAGACATCGTTTGTGTCAATGGGTGGTTTTGAATGCCATCGTAGGTGCTCTACTCATAAAAGGGTTAGTCCATTTGAGTTTCGGGACATCAAAGTGGCTCTATTTCATTGGTATTGGGGGGAAATATTGAGCGATATACCAGGAGTTCTAGGTTTGGGATATGAAGCAATTGGTTGCATTGGAGAAGGAGTATAGTTGAGAAGTAAAAGCTTCTTATTAACATTTCCGCCGTGAAGAATTGAACGCCTTTTATGACATGCCATCTACATCCATATGCAGATTACCTTTTGAACAAGGGATATTAGCCATTACGCCATATTGCAAAAGCCCAACCCAAAATTCCTACCCCATGTGCACCCATAACTTTTGCTCTCAAGTGTTCTAATGTAATCCCCATGACAATACTTCGCGACCATGCATATAAATGCTTTCCACATTCATCTGCCTCGACTGCGTAACAAATGGCAGTTTCGTAAATTCTGGTTCCTTTCATCTAATTTTCTCTCCATTGGTTCGCACATGTCATACACTGTAGCAGAAGTGTTAGCCTTTATCCTCTCACGTCTCATTCATCTTTCAGCATATCACTCAAAAGCCCTCCCTATCCGCCTTTCTTCCCGCATACACTCCTCCCCATTCCCCATTACCCCTCTCTCAAACCCCTCCCTCCCCCGCCCCAAACAAAACAAACCAAAAAAACACTCACCCTATAAAACCCTGTCATCGGCTCATCCGCACTCCTAATCTGCACAAACCTCGCCGCGGCCACCATCCCATTACACTCACTATTCGCACACTGCTTGGGATAGGTATCTGCATTCGCCCAGGCATCTTTACCTCCAAACACATCTTCTTTTTCCTCGCGCACAAATGTTTTCCGATCGTAGATGCTGCGCGTGAGTATGTATTGGTAGGGACACGTGAGACATTCGAGCCGGTTTGCGCCGCTGAGATCTTGTGTTGAGGTGGGCGTGGGCGTGGAGGAATGCGGTGTTACGGAGACGGTCAGGATGTTGCTGCAGGAGGGACAGACTGGAGGAGAGGGTTAGTGGTGGGTTGGAGAGGAGGGAGAAGGGGGAGACGTACAGAGAAGCATTTTGATGGTTGGGGTTTGGGTTGATTACTTTCTTGATGGGTATTCCTCTTTCCTTCTTTTTACTCTCACTCCTCTTATCAAATATGTATCCCAATCTCAACTAACTCAAATCTCATAAATCACAGCTCCCTCGTATTAGATCAAATCGTCGTATAAAGTATATCAGCGCGCAAAATCAAGTCATCTCAATCTCTACTCTCATCAACTTTATCATACTCGAATACAGCATCACAATCCAAACCCATGGAACTTTTTTTCCCGCTCGCTTATATAATCTACGCAACTCATTCATCCAATCAAATCCTCCGTTGAAAAGTAACAGCCATCCGAGACGGATATATCACCTCAAATCACCACAGACTCATGAGAACCAATCGATGTATTTTAAGTCTTTTTAAATCCGCGGACTCGTATTGGCAGATAGACACGATAAGATACGATGAGTGGCTATAGCCTATACTCGCACTCCACTACCATGCTAAAAAGTGTAAAAATGTTGGTCCAGAGTTTTAGAAAGTCGGTGCGTAGATGCATCCGATCGTTTCGTTTCGTTTGTGGTAGGTGGAAGTGGAGTACTCTGTAGGGTAGAATGCCTTCCCTGGGGCCTGGTGAGTAAATAGTGTTTTGAGAAGCGCTGAACTTCTATCCAGTTCTTACCTCTTACCTATTTACTTACTACCTACATAAGATTACCAGATTAAGGATTTAAGAATTTACGTTCTCTCTTCTCTCGTCTCTTCTACTCTCATCCCATCTTTCCATCTTTCATCCAAAACCCCAATTTCGAGATAGGATAGCTACATATCCATCTATCATCTGAAAAATCTTCAGAGGAAAGGGAAAAACCATCAGACGAACGTTTCTATCTATTCTCAGTATTCTACTATTCTTTCATAGACATTTGCACATTTGCACAGTTACGCATTACGACGAGACGAAAAGATTAGAAGAGTAGGTACAAATTGTAGAGCGGGGTTTGAACTTTGAAAGTGCACTTTTGTGTCGCTTTTGTTGGAGGTATACTAATTTGTGCTGTTTACGTTTCGATACGTTAGCTGCACTACTTCTCGTGGGTAGTTTGCTTGAGTTGGGTTTTGGTCAGGAGTGTGATTTGTGGTTTGAAGTTTGTAGTTTGAGGTTCTGGGTTGTGGTGTTAAGGTTGAAAGAGTTGATTGAGTACGGAAGGGAACGGAAGGGTCGAAAGTTGGAGATTGGATAATATGGCTGATCCGAGGGATGTTGAGTATGAAGAGGAAGAAGCAACCATCGACGAACAACTCCTCCTTGCCATAACACGCGGCTCGATTGGCACCTTCAACGAAGTCTTGGAACGGTTCGATAGTTCAGCAGCTGCTGTGGAATATCTGAACACACATCCTTTGGGATTTTTTGATGGGCTAAAAAGATTTGGGGTAGAGGCTAAAAACGTAGCTGCTCATGTTGCTGCATCACTTGGACAACGTAAGATACTTCTTACATCTGCTCTCAACCTTTTGATTCCATATCCCAAGATGGGAAGCAAGATGCAAATTTACTAACATTAGAATTCCCCATCTAGACAGGATCATGGACGAGCTTCTCGAGCAGGAAGGGTTTGAATGCGACCCCATCAACAGCAATGGTGAGACACCTCTCCACTGTGCCGTCAAATGGATCAACAGAGAAGGTCGAATCAACAGAATGGGAAGAAATGTCTGGGAAGATGGTCTTGAAATGGTCAAGATGATGCTTCGCGATGGCAGCGACCCTCGAATCCGCGACAATGATGGTTATAGAGCCGAGGATATGGTCAATCCCGATAACATCGAACTAAAAAGAGTTTTTGCAGATTTCGATTATGATTTCGGGACGGATGGAGATGAGGGAGAAGAGGCTGCTCCTGAGAAGAACGGATTGGATCCTGATTTGGTGAATGGTGACGAAGAGGATGTTAGGAGTGTGTATAGTGGAAGTGATAGTGAAGAGGAAGCGGAGTGGAAGAGACGCGTTGCTGAGAAGTCAGGAAAATCTGCTTAGTTTTAATTTCCTGTCATGTCTTCTCTTTGCTCTTATACTTTGTAACTGGGAGTGCGGATACGCACGGTATGTTAGGGTGCCATTGTGTTGAGCATAAGATATGAGATGATTAAAATACATTTAGCTTCAATTTGTGTGGGGCGGGCTAGCTTTAGAGTATTGCATTTTGTTATTGTACTGTACACAGTCGGCTAATCAATATAGATAGAATTAAAAGATCATGTTCTAAAGTTGCGTCTTTGTTCTCATTTGCTAGTTAGACATTTACTTCGCTTAGCTTTATGTTCAGAAAGACCAACCAAGTGGTAAAATGAAAGAAGAGATGAAAGATGTCATTTGAACTGTACATAATCTTCAGCCGAACAAAAAATGCTATGCAAAAATCCTCCAACGGATGACGACACACATCGATCTCCTAGCCGTCCTCAAATCAATACAAATTTCTCCCTCTTCCATCCCTTTACATCCGCCCATTTATATGCGTCACAAAGCTTCGTGACATTTGTATGCTTGGAGTATAATCTAATATAACCAACACGTCGATATTTAGTTATGCTAGGTGCAAATTTAGTCTGAGTTCTGTTACTCTCATGCTTTTGTCCATCTTTTGCTACATTCTTGTGTCCAGTTTGAGGTTCGATGTTCGATTTTCCCTTTCCACCTGCTTTATCCCCGGCTTCATTTCCATCTTTCGCCTCTTCATCCGGATTCTTCTCATACTCTTTCAAAACCAAACCATGCGCCTGCCGTTTCTGCGTCGCCACAAACATAATCTTATATCTCGTATTATCTACTCTGTCTTCATTCTCCTCATCCATATTCGTATCTGCTTTTGACAAGCTCGCTTTCTCATCCTGCGGACTAAAGAGAAACATGGCCGAACTGCCTATCCTACAAATAAACAACGGGTTGGTTCGACGCTCTTCTTCCGTATCTCGTGGATCCCAATGCACAAATCCACACGCTAAATTAGTCGCCTTCGTCGACAGTCTATCTATACATCGCGCCACCATCGTACTACCTAGGATCTCTAACGTTGCATGTTGGATTTCTCCATAGGGATTTTGTCCCATGAGCACTACATCATGAGAGAGGAGCTGTGGATCAATATGTGTAGAGTGAAAAGCATCCTGACTGAAAGTCGACGAATGAAACACCACTGCCCCATTCGTCGTAGCCCACGACCAACTAGGCGCTCTCTCAGTAGAAGGAATAATATCATCCCCATAATACCACACCAACCCCTGCCGAAAATGACTAGTCCAAATCCCCGCCACATACCTCGAATCCGGATACCCATTCGTGTGCAATATATCACGAACAAAAGTAACGATGCCAGAAAACGCGGGAAATTTATCCCGGGAGTATGACAGGTGTCGCGAACAATAGTCCACTACCATTTCTTTATGATATTCCATGATTATGTGCTTGCTGGTGCGGTGATGTACTGCAGACCGCGTTTGATCTTTATTGACGAAGACATAGGGACTTTTGATCATGTCGGTTCTCTTAACTCCTTGCGGTTCATGTATTTGATCTTTAATCTTCTCGTAACGGAACGCACGTTGATAAATGGGTGCTCGTGAGCGCAGTCCATCGGCAGATGCGTGGTCGTGTAAACATTGCCAGTAAATCTGCATACGACCATAATACAGGGTCCTGGCTGACAAAATCTCCTCTTGGAATGTCCAGCCTCTATCTGCAAGTGGTCCGTTTTGTAATAGACGATTCAATTGTTCACGGTTATTGTCTCGGAGTACAGCGTCGATGTGATCGTCTGGTGGACTATTTTTGCTTAGCTTCAAACTGATGCTTATACCTGTGAGATCATAGTCTTCAAATTTATTGAGGATCCCATCGGTAGAATTAGATGCGGCGGCTGCCGCGATGGTTAACGTCGCACCTCGATATACATTTCCCATGTGTTTAGATTCTATCTCCCAGTCCTCGGTTGAGTCTTGCATGATACACAAACAATCAATCCACAGAAACTGGAATCCCAGTTTCCGAGTGATGAGAATGGCATCTCGAAAATTAGGCGGTAATTTCTCTAATTCAATTCTCTTGTTGAAGGCCCTTGGAAGTCTTTTTATTTAGTTGGGAGCGATAACTGATTTTACCGCCCCAACAATGGCTCAGTGCGATGTACTTGCCTTTCATACTATGTGTTTTCACCAGATGTGGTTCATTGGTGTCGGAACCAACATGTATCACTCTTGTGGGCAGTGGCCTATCTTCTATCACCGGACATTCGTAATGTGTTGAACTGCAAGCGTGTATCCAATCTCGAGCAATCTCGAAGTTTGTTTCTGATCCCAGATTAGGATCGAGGACAAAATGACCAATTTCTATGCCATCAACAGACTTGACTTGCCCTATCATATCATATCCATAAGTCAGTGATAGTTTTTCAGATGGATACAAGAATGAAATAATTAACTACCTCGACGCTTCTGCAATGAAAAGTTCACAATCAACCTCTCTCTCCCCTGGCTCCCCCTCATATAAAACGACAATCTATCAAAAGGAATCTTCCCCTCCGACTCTTCAAATACCGCCCATCTTCTCCCCTCCCCCTCAATTTCCACATCCAAACCCATTCCCGACCCATCTTCCTCCATCTCTAACATCTCAGCCTTATACGTCTTGCTCGCACTTCCATCCAACAACACATTCTCATCTAACGCACGCACCAACACTTTACACAGCTCGCAGCCGGCTGCGGCAGCCGCAGCAAGATCATCGTATTTCGAATGATGGTCCCAGCGACGCGGTATAGCATCATGATGGTGACCCCGAGTTTCCCAATTGGCTTTCGCCAAAACAATAAGATCCGTCACATTAATAACCGCGCATAAAGCACAAAGCATTCCGAAGCGGCCTCAAAATCAACACAACGCGAAACAAAAATATCAAAAAACTCGCTCTAGGCAGGGACCAGTATCATAACGAATTCTCCACTCGCGGTCCGTACCGCTGCGTTGATAGATACATATACATATTAGAAGCATGACCCATGCATCCATACTGGGTGGTAGGCATGGGTCTCTGCATGATGTGTATGTATGAGCATATATGGCCCGGCTCATAGCCTCATTTATTTGCAATGGCGCTAGCGTATCATGCGGAAAACCAAGATTGTCTTTGAATTCATTGGAACTTCGTGGGAGGAAAAACACAGGGGGGCTTGTATACCCATGGTCATGTATTTATTTCTCAGCAACTTCTATAACTCCAAATGGAAATGTAATACGCTGGAAAGTATTTCAATCCAATAACCATAACTTATCACCCCTACATCTATCCATGCTATCTCCATCCCTAACATCAAATCAAGTCAAAATCAAATCAAAACCAAACCAAAGACACAAATAAGCGCTTAGCTATAGCACCCCTCCAATCGTCTCACCACAATGTGGAACTCTCTCTGCTCATCTAATTCGCTACCACCAAATTCTAACAACCCACCTAGCAACACAACACAGCACACCATTGCATGATCTTAAACAATTTTTTCCTGTCCTGCCTATTCCTACTACTACCCTACTGTAAGCCCTTACGAGCTATCTACCCAACTAAACCCTACACGCGACGAATTGTCAATTTAACCTGCCGATAACCGCTTTCCCGCTTTCTAGTGTCTGATTTTTTTCATTCTGTATTTCGTGTCTATGATGTTACGACGGCTTCTGGCCTCGTATCATATGACCACGTACGAAGTCATGTGATCCCTTCGATCCCTTCACCGAAGGGATCGAAGGGATCGAAGGGACCGAAGGAACGATAGGCATGAAGGTCTATATAATCAAGATGGATTTCCTTTGTATAGAGCTTCGTGCTCAAGATCAATCATTTAGTATACTCTACTATTAGTTACGAATTGCATTATTGTCATTACTTTAAGTCCCTGCTTGACGCCTAGTTATAAACCACTTCGAGAGCCTAGAGCACTTCCACGTGATCTAGACGGCAAACCTCGTAACACATAAATCTCTACAAATACATCCTCAATAATATTATTCTCTCAAAAGAGAGAAAAAAAACTTAATATCTCTCTACATCTCCATCTTCTCTCCCTTCCTCTCTCCCTTCCCCCTCTCCTCCCTCCTAGCCAACCACCACTCTACGACTAAAAAATTACATCCTACATCCTGCAACCTACAATCATACGACTTCAAACTTTCTAAAAGTCTAGGAGTATACTCAGTACAGATTAGATTCTCTCTCTCTCTCTCTCTCTCTCTCGCAACGAGCAAAAACACCAACACAATCTCATAATCTCAAATCTCACAATATTAAATTCTCAACTCTAACCATTTGATCATTTGACTTTACTTTCACTCTGAATACCTACCTAGAGAGAGAACGAGAGATAGAGAGAGAGAGGTATATAAGTTTCAATTCTGAATAGTAGTTAGTTAATTAATTAGTTGATTAATTATAAACTCATTGTAATATAAGATTACTAGTTGTGGCTATCTAATTTAGCTACAGACAGGTATAGATACAGACACGTACCGGTATAAGTAGGTAGTTCCAATTCCAAAGGTAGGAAAAGGTATGAAGGAAGGAAAAAGAATTAGGTTATGAATCCGAGCATGTATCTATCTATCTACCGGCGCAGCCAGCCAAAAAAAAAAAAAGAGCAAAACAAAAAAGCCTAAAGCTTAAAGCTTATTACACAATAAGGGTATCTATGTCAACGCCGCTTAACCATGTTTCTATCAATCTTCCGCCTTCCACCTTTCAACTCCCATCTTCCATCTTCCATCTTCAAACTTTTCAATCTCAAACTCCCCATTCCACCTAATTAAATCCAATCTATAAACTCCCCCCTTGCACCCATCCCCCTCCAATCCCATCCCATCCCATCACCCAAAATAATCAACCCCCTCACCACAACCAAACCCCCCAAACCAGCACCCCCACCATAGCCCCCCAACTCCCCAACCTAACCTTGTCCCGCAAACTCTCACCCGCCAAACTCTTCACCGCCATCTCACTAATATACGTCTCATTCATCGCCAACTCTGTAATATCCTTCGTAACCTTCCCCGTACTAGCAATTTTCCTCATCTCATCCCCCAACACCTTGAGAATATTCGTACTTCTTCCTTCAGGACAAAAGACGATTTCCCAACCACCACCCGTGGGAATGATGAATGTAGAAGTTTGATCATCGAAAGGATATCCGTATGCATCTGGACAAATTTTATTTGCGGCGTTGGCAAATTCATTGCGAGGACATAGATTAGGTTCATCGTAAGCACCGGTGCAGCAATCTGATGCGCGGTTATTTTTGGCGCAGGCCGAGAAACAGGGATCGAATGTTGGTCGTTGGATATTGTCGTCTGGGTAAGGGTAAACGCCATCACCTGGTTTGGTGGGTGGTGTTTTTTGAAGATTCCATGGACACCAACTCATAGCTGCTGTGTTGTCCACGGTATCCTCCAAAGGAATAGGATAGGTAGAGTTTGAGGAGTTACCATTTGTACCTGTGCTTGCTATGGGTGCGAGATAACCGGTTGAAGCAATACAAGCAGCATTTACAAGGTTTGGTGGAATGGCCTGAAGTACAGGATTGTCACCAGGAATATAGACGATTCCCAAAGGGATGTTATAGCCGTCTACTAGAGAGATATCATAAAAAGTTTGTTCACCTCCATTCCCTGCTAGATCAAACTCCGCTAGAGTGACAGGAGTTTCGCCCTATAACAGTCAGTAATCATTCATTTCTATTATCAAAGTAAAAACTCACAGTAATAGCACAGTCCAATAAACCGCCACAATCACCAGTAGTACAAGCAGCACCAGAACCATCATTTCCAGCAGCATTACTAGCTCCATTTCCTCCAACAGCGAAACTACAATTGGTGCGTCCCCAGACTCTTCCTTGCCAATCTGCACTGACGGTCAAAGATTTACTCTCTCCCGTTTGAAGGGCGAAACCTCCTACTCCAGCACCAGTTCCTGCTTGAGTACCGATTCCAGGCCATATTGTCTCAGGACACATATTGCTAACCACTAATGGTATTCCTCCATCTCTCTTTTTAGGAGGTCCTTTTCGAACAGGTCTATTAGGATCCCAATTTGGTTTCCAGGTAGCTCTATTTCGATAGTATGTATGAGCCTCAGCAATAGGAAGCATAGCAAGACAGAGACTAGCAGCTAGAAGCTTTCGTGATATCGAAGAGGATTTTCGTGATCGATGAGATTTTGAACTCATTTTGTCTTGTGATCTCTCGCCCGTCATTTGGAATGTGTGTTCGATTGGTGATATTGTCACTTTATGAATTCGTAACTCGTATTCAAGTTCGCAAAGTTGTGTTTCAACAAAGTTCGTAGGAAGAAATTAAAGTATCAAAACAAACAGGAATAAGCCAAAGAAAGGTAAAGTTAGGATAAAAACAAGAATCTCTGACGGCCACGTTTTATTCCTTGGTACCGTGGAAAAGATGTTTGGATGGAGTGGTTGATATAGGATAATCTTCCCCAACCTGATATGAATTGATATGATTAGTTGGTCCAGAACCTCCCAAACAAATCTCTTCAATACCAATCACTCAATCCCCTCCAAACCAAGATCAAACCTCCCAAGTCCAAATCAGAGTCCCAATAATAGAGAAAAGCCGACGACCAGTCAAATAGATGATCCCTGCTCAAAAGTCCCCTTGAGGTAAAACAAAGAAGTGGATCGACCTTAAAACCCTTTGATGTTTTTTTTTTAGAAAACCGTTCAATTCGATGCACTAATACCGATATTGAGCGTCAAAACTTTTTCCCTCTACCAAACCTATATCCTAGGTATTGTATCCTGGGTATTGTATCCTGGGTATTGTATCCTGGGTATTGTATCCTGGGTATTGTATCCTGGGTATTGTATCCTAGATGTTATATCCCAGTTCCTCAATCCCACCACCTTCACCAAAAGCAAAATGACGTATTCCCTACGAAAAACCACAAAAAACCACAAACCACCACAAAAAACCCAATCCAGCTAATCGTCCACCCAATCCAATCCAATCCAATCCAATGTTATAAAAATATAGAACGGATGAGAAGCGTAGTGTAGCGTAGCGTAAAATGTCGTAAACTCCTCGTCCGCAACAAGTAACAACTTACAAAGCAACAGGGATATAAATCTTGATTTTTGCCCTTTCCTTTCAAATCTTTATCCCTATCACTCTGTATCTCAACTATCCTCTCCTACCCTCTCCTCTCCTAACCCAATAAAATACCCAATTTCTATTTCTATTTCTATTTCCCGCCAAAAACCCCAGAGCCCTCCCTCTCCCTAAGCCCTACGAACCAATACCGTCCGTCAGTCAATCAGTCAGCCAGTGGGCTTCCCTTCTAGCGATCGCTAACGCAGCGGTTATGACAGCGGGCTGGAGAGCGAGTAAGCTTGCGAGTTTGCGAGCCTGTGAGTCTGTGGGCTTAGTGTTTGAGTCTGTGCAATAAAGTCCGTGAGCAAGCGAATCGCAAATTCGCAAATCGTAGATCATGAACCGTGAACTATCAATCAATCAATCAGGACCGTTAATTCAAGCTTCAGCTCCAGCTCCAGCTCGCTCAGTAACAACAAAACGAATGTAAAGTTGAATACCTAGTAGGTAGGTAGGTAAATAAGCGCCGACCAAGTAAGCGCTCTCAGTATCAATATCAAACAGAGTACCAGCCAGTATCAGTATCAAAGCACCAGCACCAGCTAGTATCAAAATAAAAAATAAAAATACCACCTAGGAAGAAAAGAATAAAAGAGCGTTGTTAAAGAGCGTGAATGAACGAACGGACGAATGAATGAATGAATTATACAAATGAATGAATATATGAACCAAAAAAAAACAAAAACAAAAGTCATGTATATACCTAAGTACCTAGGTAGTAAAAATATCCTTCCTTTCCCGGGTCTGTTCTGTATATAAAAACTCAAACCTCAAGGTAGGTACTAATTGAATTGAATTGAATTAGATGAGATTTTACAATTACAATTACAATTAGTATTGAAAACCTAAAACTTAAAAATCTAAAGCTAAACTTAATGATTAATACTCAATGATTAAGATCTACCTACCCACCTAGATACTAAGAGAAGGAAACGGGTGCTGCCGAAACAAGAACAAGAACAAGAACAAGACAAGACAAGACAAGGAAAGGGCGAGTATAGTAGAGCGCAGTAGAGTAAATAGTTACAGGGAAATCCTAGATAGATATCTATATATCATATACACATACAAACATCACAAAATCCCATCTTCAAATCTCAATCTATTTTTTTTAATTTTTTTTATAAAAAAAATCATTCCATTTTCACCAACTACAAACCCAAAAAATGAGCAAATAGGTATCAACTCTCTAAACTATGGATCCATTCATTCATTTCCTATTCATTTAGGGATGTAAAAAGATTATCCATCCTATCATCCATATACTGGAAAAAGAAAAAGGTACCTGATCTGATCCAAACGATCCCATTTTTCTTCCATCCATCACGCTAATCACATCACCGGTTTTGAATCTGATCACTCCCCATCAATCCATCAACCCAATTCTTCCTCGCTCAATCATCTCCTCGTCCGTCATGAAAATCATTGCAGAAAGGCTTCCCGCTGTCAAATCTTAAAGAGTTCCCCTTCACTCCAGCGCCGCGCATCTCAAATTGTAATGCCACTGTAAGTACTCTGATATCTGAAGAACGCTAAAGTACTAAAAGTAAAAATTTGTCAAATCCAATGTGTATTAATTTTTATGCTTGCTGAAGAACGATTATCTGAATCTGGATGTGCAACGACCCATGACTTCTCCCTGGCAAACGAGTTCGGCATTGAATTCGGATCCATCAAGTGTGAGGTAGATATCAAAGTACACTCGGTAGAAGGTGCCTTGAGGGGTATCCATTCTTTCAAAATCCTTTTCAAGATTCTTGCGAGAAAGATCAGATGTGAGAGTACGACTTCCCTTGACCCTAAATATAGGTGGTGACGGTGAGGCCATGTAAGATCCGAGGACAAATTAACTTACGTGGATCCTTGGTATATTCGGCGCAAACATCATCATCACAAGCGTACAAAATATCCTCATACATCAAAGTGGCTCCGGGTGCCACTTGTCTGAAGAATGACACTTTGACTGGCTCACCGATCTTAACTCTTTGTCCTTTCTGTACAAATATTTGTCGAGTAAACTTGCATCGATCCTTACCATCTAAGGATGGAACACGGTAGGCTTCTGGATGGTGTCCCTCTTTAAAAGGTTGAAGAGTTGCCATGAGGTAGTGACGACGAGCTACACGGGATGTAACGACTCTTTCAGTGATACCAGCAGTAACAGCACCCTTAACAATAGCAGCCACGGAATCCATAGGACGAACAACCTTGGCCTGGAACTGAGGTGGTACGTGAAGTTTGATTTGTTGGAAAAGATATTCCGATGCACCAAAACCTCCAACAACCAAGACGTTCTGAAGTGTTCGGTTTTGTGCCTGGATGGCTATGATTTGGTTCCTAACCAATTCCAAAATTCGGTTGACAACTGGCTCGAAACATTGTAGAATTTCTTCATTAGTGAATGTCATATATCCTTCTTCAATTCCTGCTTCGGGGAACTCTGCTTCAATGCCGACATCGACCGCCCATTTCTGATTGTTATTTCTGAAATCCGCCTTGATTCTGTTCTCGAAGTCCATGATACATTTTGCGTAAACTCTCCCGGCTGTCTTTGAACCCTCTGGTAATTTCATCTTTCGGATCTTGTTTCGTAAAATATTGCTAAAGTTTCGATTCAATGCCGTAGACCCACAGGAATCACCAGAACCTGCTGTACACTCGGATACTGTGAATGGGGACTCTTCTTCGACCTCATATGCAATTAAATCGACAGTTCCACCGCCGCAATCGACAATGAGTACAGCATCATGAATCTTGAGGTTCAATAGACCGGCCTTTGAGCAAAATAGTGCAGCAGCTTCGGGTTCCGTAACCAAAGTCAATCGATTGTCGTTCTCGTCCCTCAAGAATCCAGCCTGGATGGCGGCCGCTCTGGTCGCAGCCTTCCCAGCATCATTCCAAATAGCAGGAACTGTCAGGTAGTATCGGATATTTCTTTCTTCTCGATTGAAAACCTCTCCCAAAGTCTTTTGTAATTGGTTTCGCATAGCTTGTCTGAGTTTGAATAGGTAATCCGCTGCAACATCGATCTCTGACTTTCCTGGTGGAAGGGGAGGAAGGTTGATAGGATCGATATATGTGTTTCCGGAAAGCATCAATTGAAGTTTGAACCATTCTACCTTTTGAACACCTGGTTTTGGATACCCAGTCGGTGCCAAGGCATCTGCGATATCGGGACCCCATCCAACAACCTTTTGGTATTGATCGTAATAAAGGACGGTGGGAATCTGAAGATGTTAGCAGATGTTATTGTCAAGAGCCGATGTCATATCTCACCTTTTGTTTTGTATATGAACCTGCTCCAGGCCATTCGGTAATGATGTCCTCTTTCGCCTCGGTGTTGGTCGCAAAAGCAAAGGCTACACCAGAGAAAGTTGTACCCTGCGAATCATGAATTAGTTCTGTGAAGCTCGAGATATTTCATGATATACTCACAAAATCTATTCCCACGATGAGTTGCGCCTTGCTTTTGCCAGCGCCTTCAACTTCCACCGGATTAGTCCTGCCTCCATACTGCGGACCCGCACCGCCTTGTATCGGTGCCCCTCCAGCATATTGAGGAGGATGATTATACTGTGGTGGCCCAGCTGGAGGAGGAGGTCCTCCCATAACTCCCTGTTGTGGAGGGTAGCCGCCGGTAGCTGCAGTATTAATCGGTGGCGGTCCGCCCATCATCTGTGCTGGAGGGGTTCGTGGTGTACCTTGAGCCATCGGAGACGTTGTACGCCCGACGGGTGTATATTGATTAGAGTAGCTCGGCGGTCTTACGCCAGCACCCCCAGGATGATTCATAGGTAAACTTGCTGTAGAGGAAGAAGCCGTCTGTGTGGGAGGAGTAGGTTGTCCGGGTAATTGCGCGAGTTGTGGTGAGGATGTAGTAGAAGTGGGGTTTGGCGGGATGGCAGTTGAGATATTGTTTGCACTTGATTTACGTTTGGAACCGAACCCAAGGCTTTTTAAGCGGGCGTTCATAGAACTCATAAGGTCTACGAAGGGTGGTATTTTTAAATCTTCTCGAAGAAGTAAAAACGGGGAAAGCAAAGGACGAAGGAGGAGGGATGGTATCGCACTGTATCGATGGAAGGATGGATATCCAGTCGCCGATGTCAGCCAACCTATTGACTTGTCGCTAGCTTCCTAGCGACCTTGGGGGCTGAGCAGATGGAGGTTCTTTGACCTGGTCGGAAGGATTTCTCGTCCAAAGTGTACGGATGACATGAATCTGCAGGAACAGGATATAAAAAATTAGTCCTATGAAGCAAATTGTAACACTGGATGATTATTGAGGACTAATAATTATTAAGTGGGTGGAGTTAATTTTTATCCGTGATAATAAAATGGATCTTTGGTAGGTTAGATAAGATGTGAACAACGAAGTTTTGATTGAAAGTATAGAAATAGAGTATTGGGGGTATAAAGTGTAAGGTAAGGGAAACGGGAAGGGAGAGGAACGAAGGTAGGTAAGGCAAGGCAAGGTAAGGTAAGGTTGGGTATGGTTGGTATGATTGTGTTGTAACTTGAGTTGTTGGTTGTTGGTTGACGGATTAGATGGAATTCGAAGGTTTTAATGGGCTCTTGGTTGATTTGATGGGTGGTGGGTGATGTGGTGGGTGATGGGGTAGTGGGTAGTGGGTAGTGAATGTTCCGCTGAATGGTATGCTGACAGCATCAAAAAGTTAACTGGTGAACTAAGGTTTTATGCGGGTTCAGGCTCGCTTTGTTCTTATAGTGACTTGATAGGAGGAACGATAAGGAAGGCAGGCAGGCAGGCAGGCAGGTAAAGGAATGAATTCATTGCCTGTCTCGCAATTGTGTTAGAGACTCCATGGAAAAGATAAAAGCAACAAGAAGGAGAAAAGGGGGCAGCCACATAAAACAGTCGGTCAGTCCGAATTTATAATATTCTTATTTATTCCAAAATGAAAGGATTCATACTCAAAAGCCTTTTAAGAAATATTTCACAGATGCTGGACTGATGGATTGATGGATTGATTTTCCTATTGTGGGTGCAGCAGAAGATGTACGGTGTACAGTATTACCTTTTCTGCCTTTTCTGAAGCAGGAAGAATTAAGATCTTAACAAAATGAGGGGTTCCTTTTCCGTCCAACAGCCAATGCAATCAATATCTACACCGTGGCTTTGTGGAGGAAATAAAATATAGGTAAAATACTCAGCCTCAAAGAAACCTAATGAAATATCTCTCTGGCCATGTATCATTAGTAATTACCTGCCTACCTACTTAAGCACATGGAGGCACAGCCTTAAATCCACCACCAGTCCTGCCTTTACAAAAAAGTTAATATTGGGCAGAGCAGGTTGGGCTCTTGTTGATCATTCAGAAAGTCTGCCTTGAGAAGATTGATTCCAAGACTTCATTCAATCCCCTTCTCACCGTCAAGAAAGGTCAAATTGTAGGAGAAGAGCATTTGAAGATACATGCAAGTGCAAGTACAAGTAAAACTTTTCGAAACCTTCAACCTTTCTTACCATTTTCGGATTTTCCATTTTGGCCCTTGCAGCTTTGATACGATACATTGTAACCAAGTTTACGAGACCATCGAGAACCAAGGTGTTGGTTTTCTGCCCCCGATATATCCTTTACCTCGTAATATTCAGAATGATTGGTTGTATCTGGAAATATCAAACCTTCAGATGATTGATTACCTATCCACAACGAAAGAGTTTTGAAGCATCAAGGGCCATTTTGAGAAAATTGCGCATATCCCCCGACCTAGAAACTCACCATGGAATCTTTCTAATGCGTTACAAATCTTACATGTACTGTGCATCGAGTCTACTATTGGCGATCATACGAATCACCATTGTGTGCAAGAACTACAAACAATCACCAGCGAGCATATGAAGTGGAATCATGAACACGTGAGATAAGCACTAAACAGAGGTACGAGTTGGGAAGAGGATAATGGCAGGTGAAGTTAATCTAATTTTTATATTGAACTCTGACACCGAATGGTAATTTCAATTACCTATCAAAAACACCGAATCTTGTGCATGGGGTTAATCATGCAAGACTTCCCTCATTGTCGGTATCGTATGGGATCACTTGGAGCGTCCTATCAAAGCGGCCTTCGGAAATTGGCAATGGGAGCGGCACAGTATTTCTTAACCGGGAGGGTTTTGCAGGAGACGTTTCGGCAAACCTTGTCCGTCAAGATTCGAAGTTATTCTGCAGTAAAGCAATGCAAGTCATAGCTGACTGACAGAATCAAGTTCAGTACATTTTGGAGCCATTGTAACGTAGTAAAATACCACATCAGACACAGACACGGAACGGAAAGAAATATATTCCATCCGTAACTTCAGTGAGGGTAGAGAACCCATACAATACTCTAATGCGATATCTAGGTTACACACGGCAACAATACAATCCCAATAATCTGTAACCTCACTAACGTCTAATATTTCTTTGCTGATGACTTACATCTTGCCCCTGACGTGCTGACTGCTTGCTGTCGATTTTAGAAGCCATGATCAGCACATATTTTGATGTAACACGAACTGCGGGATGATTCAATAGAAGTTTAATAAAGTTCGTGTCTCCAGGTAGAGATCAGAACCGATCTATGGTGACACGGTAAGCAAGAGTGTCAATGGAGTTTTTGCAACTGTTCTTAAGATACTGATATCAATAGTACTAGATGTCTTTGGTCCAACAAGATTGATGTACTTGGAAGACTATAAAGAAACACAGAGCATGAGTGATAACCATCTTCTAGCCAGATCATTAAAGCTTTTGATATCCTTCATAGCAAACACTCTTATCACAAGATACTATGTTATGTATTGATGAAATACACTACATCATGTTTCCTATGCATTTCCGGGACTCACAAATGAATTGATAGGCGCGACGGGAGTTCATACATATAAGTCTGAGCTCTGATGTTTTGACCAGGTGTGAATGGAGGCACGTCCTCAACAAGTTTCCCCATCTTTGATAACTTGATTGCATTGTGCATCCCCAGCAAAAGTTTATTAATACATAATTAGTTTTCCACTCTCAACCCCAATATGAATAATACTATTCTTCTCAGATGTATGTAGAAATTATTGAAATATATTTCTGTATATACACTCTCCTTTCATCTAAACGTGGTTGTTGATGTTCACGTACACGTTACAACACAGCCGAAGCTTGAGAGGTCACCCTCGTACCCGACAGTTGTGTTAATCGGACGGCCAAATCTAATAGGAATCCTGATCATTTAGACGAAAATCAAAGCAAAAGTCAGAACTTATACACTGGGGATAGTAAAGACAGTTACACTTTCAAGAAAATATCCTGTATCCCGACAACGGTAATGAAGGGGTCGATACGAAAGTCTGGAACTTCTCCGATATCAACAAGTTGTCCAAAACGAAGAAACCAAAACACGGAAAACCACTTCCCCTGCGTTAATCAGCCTTCCTCATTCGATCCTTAGCATTTTTTGTCCCCATTCTTAAAGTCCCGACTGCATATTACGACGTCACGATACTTATATACAATTGAACGACTTTTCAATATTTTTTTTCTTCTCCATGACCGGATAAGGAGAGTCAGTATCGTCAGTATCTTGAATTCCAAAGCAAGATTCTATTCTCCGCAAAATCTGGGAGACTCCATCCATCCCTTCGTCTCACTAAAGCAAGGAAGGACATTCGATTGTTTCGCATCCACATCCACCACCTCCACCATTATTTGGGGCTCCAGACGAGAAGGAATAAGAGAACAAAGCTTTGATTACGAGATATTTATTATACCAGAATTGTCCTCCAGGCTATTATACGGAGTTTTCTTTCAGTTCGACAGATAGCTAGCTATCTGTACATTATCGAGATCTGGCTACCGACCATACGATAACGCGATAAAATTAATACATCAGTCTACATATCAGTCTGTATTCCAATTTATATAGCCATCTATATATAGCCATCCTCATTCATACTCATTACCAATACCATACCAATACCAACATCGATTCTACGACACTTGATACATCGAATGAATGGTCTCTCAGCTCGATTATGTTCGATATTACACGAATTTACCATTAACCATTCATAGACTGAGACTCTGACGTTCACCCCCGTTGGATTCCGAGCTAATCCTTTGAGGCTATTTTACGGAGTTACAAGCAACTGCATCATCATTTTCTTCCAGTTGCATTTTTCCCTTTTCTTCCTTTGTTCCTTGGAGGAAGAGAGGTTCGAATTAAAGTAGCACCGCATAGACGGCCCTTTTTTGAAGGGAGACTAAGATACGTTGACCAATCAGAACAGAGGATTCTTTGGGAATAAGTGGGTCATCTTGGGTCCCCTCCAACTCCAAACTCTGCCCCTCCAAGTTTCCCGCGCTTTGTCTTGTGCTACGAGGCTTTTCTCATAGAAAGAGAATTGCCCCGCCTCCCGCCAAGTTGGCCATAAACTCACCCATCCTAATCAAAATTACGTCCTCAATTGGAAAGGGCGACCCGCCCGCCAACTACAATTCTAAAAAGAAGAAGTTTCCTTCAATTTCCGAATGGTATTATTCTCTTCATGCTCCTTCTTCTTCCTCTCCTACCACTCCCACTTCGAACTTTCCTTCAACACTACCAACACAGTCACAATCAACGTACCCAACGATAAGCTTTAACGAATCCAAATCTTTTAAATCTCATAAGGTATCGAAATCGGATCAAATCAGCCTCGTGCATTTAGCCTCTGTTACTTTTGTAGTTGTTGTCTTGGTAAATTAACCACAAGCTCCCAATGTCATGTTGGTTATTACTAATTTATTATATATATAGATTGTTCAATTCTTATTCACTGATACCCCTCCTCTTTATTCAAGACCACCCCGTCCATATTCACCAACATCATATTCTCCTCGAGCCAACTTCTTAGATCAAGGCACTTGCGAATCTCCACATCCATTTCCTACAGAAGCTCCAATATCAAGACCACACAAAATGTCTTTGTTAGCAGAATCAAAGCGCGTTGCCGCAGAGTTTGAGTACTCAGATGAGGATGTGCGAAGAGGTGTTGCGGAATTCATCGCGGAGATGAGTATGTGTGTCTGCCAACCAACTTATGACATGGAACTAATATTTCCATAGATGAGGGATTGGAAAAGAATGCAACAAACATGAGTCAAATTCCTACATATGTTACTGGAGTTCCTAATGGCACAGAAAAGGTTGGAAAAGAAGACCCGCATTTTTTCTTTCAAGAGCTGATGAATCATAGGGACTTTACCTGGCGGTTGATCTTGGAGGAACCAACTTTAGAGTTTGCTCGATTCAGTTGCACGGAGATACCACATTCAGTCTCACACAATCAAAGGTTGCGATACCAAGGGAGTTGATGTTGGCAAAGACCGCATCGGACCTCTTTTCGTTTTTGGCAAAACAAATCGAACTTTTCCTCAAAACCCATCACGAGGACCATTTCGCGGCCCACATTAGACGTCGTAATACCGTTAGTACACCGGAAGGGTTCAGGGATGAGCACATCTTCAGACTTGGTTTCACATTCAGTTTCCCAGTTCATCAAATCGGTATCAATAGAGGAACTTTGATTAGATGGACAAAAGGTTTCGATATTGCCGATGCGGTTGGACAAGATGTATGTGAATTGTTACAAAAGGAGATTGATAAATTACATCTGCCTGTGAAGGTCGCTGCTCTTGTAAACGATACCGTGGGAACCTTGATGGCAAGAGCATACACCTCTCCTGGAAAGGCACAAACCGTACTTGGAGCCATCTTCGGTACTGGTACCAATGGCGCCTATGTCGAAAAACTCGAAAAGTTGACCAAGCCCATGGAAGGAGATTTTGACAAGACAACTGGTGAAATGGTTGTCAACACAGAATGGGGCTCATTTGATAATGGTCTTAAGGTATTGCCAAATACCATTTATGACCAAATCCTTGATAAGGATAGTGTCAACCCTGGTATTCAGATGTTTGAAAAGAGAGTTTCCGGTATGTTCTTGGGTGAAATTCTCAGAACCACTCTCATTGAAATGATGAAGAGCCCGATCAGCACTCTTTTCAAGGATAAGTCGTCGGCAGATAACGATTATAGGTCGACTACTAACATCGATGAAAATGGTGCTCTCTTCAAACAGTGGGCTGTCGACAGCTCCATTCTCTCAATTGCTGAAGCTGACAACAGCATTGGTCTGCGCGCCCTTCGCCAAGAACTTGAGAAGTCACTTGGTGTCTCAGCTGCCTCGTTAGAAGATGCTCAAACTGTCAAAGAAATTGCGCACGCTATTGGTAAACGTGCAGCTCGTTTAGCTGCCGTCGCAATTGGAGCTGTTGTCCTTCACACTGGCCGTCTTGATAACATATCGGATGCAAACAAACCTAAATCAACAACCTCTATCGTTCAGGATGTTCAGGATTTAAAGCTTGCCGACGCAGCATCAGCTACCGCTAGTAAGCTAGCAGATACAGCAGGCTTGAAAATCAACGAGGAAGATATTATCGATATTGGTGTAGATGGATCTCTTGTAGAATTCTACCCAGGTTTCGAAGAATATATGAGAGAGGCTTTGAGAGCTATGGATGGTATTGGAGCTGCTGGTGAGAGAAGGATCAGAATTGGTATTGCTAAGGATGGATCTGGAGTTGGTGCCGCATTAATTGCTCTTGTGGCGGCAGGAATGGAGAAGCAACAAGATTATATTGGAGATTTGAGAAGTAAGTATGGTGCTATTGCCGAATAGGCGGCAATTGGGGAATAATGGCTGTATGACTTGGTATGAGATGAATGATGAATGAATGGCTCGTTGTCTAGGTATAAGAAGAAGTGAAGTGGAAACTTGATGGATAGATGGATTGGTTCGGCGGATTTTGGTTGCATAACATTTTGGGCATGCGTTGCTGCCAGGTGGCTATCTTTTTTTATTACAAATATCTTCTTACGAAATGGAAATGGAATATGAAATTTTTTTGAAACTTAATTATTGTTCCTATTTTGAGATTCCTGTTGTGAAGTAGATATAAATGAGAATACTCGAGTAGTTAATAATTAGCTCATCTTAATATCTAATCTCGAAGAAAATGTTTTGATAGGGAGTTTTCTGAGTAGAGGATAATTTGAGGTTAATAAGTATGATAGTGAATTGAGTGAGTAAGTCATGAGTCTTAAATAAAGTAGGTAGGTAGTTTGTGAAGAGGTAATTTGGGATAGGTAGCCCAAGGAAAGGAAAGGAAAAGATATTTGTAGGCTTTGAGGAGTTGGGAGTTGAGTTGGCAGTTGGGAATATATTGAGGGATGTATTGAGGAATGGATGAAGGTGAAGGGTTTGTATGGTGGTGGTGGTGGTAGGGAGAGAGTGAGGGGAGTGAGAGATGGTAGGGTAGGGTGGATTTGGATGGATTTTTTGGTGGCTTTGTTTTGGGGAAGGGGGAGAGAAGGGGAGAGAGGAAGGGAGGGAGTGAGAGGGGGGGTTGGTAGTGTATTTATTGTATTTATTGGGTGTTTCTTTTTTTTGGGGGGGGGGTCGGGGGTCGGTTCTGTGATAGTGATGGTGATGGTGGAGGTATGATTTGACTTGATTTACTTATGTATTTATTTATTTATAGATTTTTTGTGAATATTTAATTCAGTAATTAAGTATTTATACCTATATCCAATTTATATATTTACATATAATAAATAATTCACCATTAACCCCAATGATTAACCATCTCTGCATTCTCTGCATTCCCCAAATCCTCCGCATTCCCACCTGACCTCGTCACAAAAAACCGCTGACTTCGAATCCCCTCTCGATTTACCACAGAAGTTTGCGCATCCGAAGCAGGAGTACTACGTACATCCTGCTGCGCATAATGCACGTGTAATCCTCCTATATTCTTCGTACATGGCTCCTCCCATTCTTCGTACATGGCTCCTCCCATTCTTCACGTGCTTCTTCCCAGGTTTCTTGAGTTGAGTGGGTTTCTGGGGTGGGTTTTATTTTTCTTATTGTCTTTTCTTTTTCCTTTTCATTTTTTTTCTCGGCCAGTTTTGGCTTCGTGTGTTGGTTTTTATTACCACTATTCCTATTTCTTCTGTTGTTACTTCTGGAAAAGAAAATTAGGGTTACGAGAATACATAGTGTGAGGAGCCATGTTATCCATATTGAATGGAGGAGTAGTGTGTAGAGGGTGCCGATTTTGGTGTAGTGTTTGGTTGGGGTGGGTGTGGATGGAGTTGAGGTTGAGGTTGAGGTTGCAGATGGGGCTGGAGATGGGGATGAGGATGAGGAGTTCGTGGTGGTGATTCTTCGTGAGAGATAGGTGAGCGAGGTTAGACAGATGGCGGGGATTAGGTAGATGGTTGTTTGGAACTGTGTTGGGAAGAGGGGGGGGTTAGTTTTTGTTCAGTTTAGTTTAGTTTTGTGTTTGGGGGCTAGGGCTAGGGGCACCGAGGGGGTGAAAGAGGAGGGGAGGAAAGGAGGAAAAGGGATGAGATGGGATAGGTTGGTTGTGTAATTATACATACCCCGAAGAAATACATTAATTTCCCATAAAGACTTTTTCCCGTTCGGAGAAACGAACGAATAAATAGGTACGTAAGTAGAATTTGTATATGAATTCCAATATAACAGAAAGAGAAAGCAGCAGCTGTTAAACTGTGGAAAAGATGGAGATCGCTATCTGAGGCGTGGATCTTGGTTGCGGAGACGACATAGCCGATTGCTAGATTGGGGGGTTGAGAAGTTAGTTTTGTTTTTTGCTTTTCTGCTTTTGTGTTTATTGCATAGGCAGGTAGATGTGATGGATAAAATATATAATTTAAAATAAGAAGAGGAAAGAAAAGAAAAGAGAAAAGAGAAAGGAATTGGAGATAATAAAATAAAATAAATAACAATAAAATAAAATAAAATAAAATACAAAAAATAAAAAATAAAAATCTCACGATTAAAATCCAAATGACACCCCTCCCCATTCGGCGCATACACATCCCTATCTAACCCACTATTTCCATTCTCGCCCCCAGAAACACAATATTGAAACATGTAAATCTTATATGTGATATCCGACCCCACGATATCGAGTAGAGAACTATTGGGTCCGGGAAATTGGTAGAAGAGCGATATGAGGATGAGGATTAGGGTTAGGAGAGAGGTGCTGGTGGTGAGGTAGAGACTGTGTTTGTAGGTTTTGTTAGGGGGTGTGTCTTGGGTGGGGGAGTGGGAGTGGGAGTGAGATGGGAGATTGGAGTGGATTTTGCGTAGGGTGGGTAGCATTTTGTTTTGGGGCGGGGTGGAATATTGGTTGGGGTTTGGAGGTGGTTTGTGTTTTGTGTTTTGTTAACATCTGGTGGAATATAAATGGTAGATGGTAAAGTGGTAGTATAGAAAGGGTATGAAGTGAGAACTTTATCAAGGGTTTTCAAAGATAATAGGAATATGGATTCTAAATTATGATTCATAAAATAGTATGACTTGTTTCTAAATTGTATCTGACTCCTTCGAGTCGAGTCATCTTAAAGAGGAGTCAAACTAGAGTCAGACAAGAAAATAATAGTTATCAATGAATTGTATTTAGCAAATATCTGACTCCAAAAGTTGTCCCAGATCTAAGAGTCGAAAAACAGACCAAGAAGGAAAAAAAGAATCACAATGTCACAAATAAATCATTTAAACCTTTCCCCCCCTAAGTCGTTTTCTCTCTTCATCTTTCCCTGTTCTCTCTTTCCTTTTTTGGACTGACTCTCAAGTTGCTTGCGATAAATTCACTACTATTCAGAAGCTAGTATGGACTAACCATAATACTATCCATGATGAGGCATTTCCAACTCATCACTATTGCTACCAGAGCCGAACTAGGCGCCTTCAGCAGGAGTACCACAAACTTTTGTATCTTCATTAGGGGTTCTTTGCAACGGCTTCGAAAACCCGGGCTTCGAGAGCAGGTGTTCCTATCGAGGGTATCGCCGCTTGATGCATTTTGTTGTTGATAAGATGAGGACGTTGAAAAGAAGGATAATTCAGAAGAGTTGCGCGATGAGGAGGTAGAAAAATCCGGGTGTGGTGGTTGTGGTTAAAGTGGGTTTGGAGAGATTGATCAGTTGGTCACAGTAGGGTTTGAGGTAAGTGTTGGTGTAGTGACTAGTTGCCACCTTTCTGTTGGCATGTGTAAATAGTTGACCCCCTGCATCATCTCCCATCTTTATGTTGTCCGACTTGACTGAATTGACTGAAGGGGATATAATTATCAAATCACAATACAATGAGTTTAAAGCTCATTCAAGTCATCATGGACCTTACTCATGATTGACCGAGACTATGATATGTGAACTGCTGAGGTCCCTGTGATCATGCAATTTAATGGAGATATTGATAATGAGAATCGTCCAAATAAGGAAAGAGGAAGAAGTCACCTACATCGAGTTCTTATAGCTAATTAAGAGAAAAATCATGATATCCTTAAGGATAACCATTGGGGTGGTAGAATGAGCACATCGCCACGCGAATACCCCTCGAGTCATATTCTAGTAAAATTCAAATGTGCAGTGAAAAGCCAGACAACGAGAGTGTATCGAGCCCTGACAGGTGTTTGGCTAGAAGTCAGACAATCGCAGCTCCATTATGAAATTCATGTATTAAAATTTTCAGACAAAATGAAATAACAATTCTACAGCACCAGACTTGGAAGAACTGCAGGCAGTAGATCAAGTTCTACCACGACAACCACAAAAGAGCACCTTCAAGTGATCCACATCAAGGTCTCATCCTCTTTCATCCAAATACCCTTCCAGCTAAGAGCAAGAAAAATACATAAAGTGAAACAACTGATTATTGTAGTCAGACAGCTTAGAGCCAAGATTCCAGTTCCCCTTACCACCGATATTTTGTCTGATAATGCGCTAGCGATAATTGCCTCCGTAACTTATGAAGGTATTTGAGCCATAAAGACTATCCCAATTATGAGTAATATAGAGGTAATCTAATTATCAACATAGGTTAGATGTAACAACGACGGAAAGGGGGAATTAGGAACCTTACAAGGTTGCAAGCAAATAAAGCCGTGCAACTATCTCTAATACTTGGTAACTTGAATACAAAGATGATAAATGATGAGGCAGAAATAGATACGAGCGATATAAGGAACGAGGCCATGAGACGATTTCTCCCTGTCCCCAACGTCGTCTTAATCGAGTCTTGCATTTCTGGATATAAAGACCAAAGTTTAATATCTATGGAGAGCTGTCAAAATCTTACTCCTCGTGGGCCTCGATCGAAATGAGGTAGATGGCTTTTCTGCTAGACATACCTGAAGCCTACAAAAAGCATAAAACGTTGCCCTTGGTGGATACAGAGGGGCCATCAACGTGGCTGCAGGTTTTGGTGACGTATAACTCTATATAACCATGGGTAGATGTGGAATTTGTTTCGCCGCTCTGAATAACATCTTCTAATTTGAGAACCGAGAGGCCAGACAGTCCCAAAAATATGAATATGGCGAGGAAAGATGGCACGATGAGAAAGTAAAGGACCAGGCCAGAAACCCTCAATTTATGGCGGTACGAATGTAAGTGCTGTTGCATACTTTTATCGGTTGTTTGCTGATCGTAGTGTATTTGAAGATATGAGATTTGAAATGTAATAGAATGATTTACCAGAAGCCTTTGAAATAACGAAGAAAGGAAGGGCTGCTGATGAAATATTAGCAGAGGTATGTATACCTCTGATAGCATTGATAAGTGATTCATCGCTCCCGGTGTACGGAGTTACTCATACGAAAATAAGACTGATACTGATGGCTGTAAATGCGGGTGTCACGAGCTTTCGATGACTGTCCGTAAAAGCATAAACCGCCAAGAACATTACATGAGTATATTGTGTGACTGTGACATAAATTGGACCTTATATTCAATGTCTGGAAATAAGTAGAAAAGCAAAATCCCCTGATTTGTCAATACTGTCACACACTTAAAAATAGAATACCAAAATATATCTACCCATAATTAAAGAGTGAACTGGGGTTCGCCTATCGAAATAACTTCAACAGTTTTCAAGCAATCTCGAAAATATGAAAAAGAAAATTCTGACAATAGATTGGCCAAGCGCGACTTATTGGTGCCACCTTAATAAGACCACAAGATCTTGCAAAGGCTTAAAAAAAGTGAGCTAAGCGATATTCAACAGTATAAATTGATCGCTTCACGCATTTACTCAACAGGGTAGAGTCTACCACGAATATAAACTTGGGTTATGACCAAAAGTATTTGTGATGACCGAGTTCCCACGGGTCGAAAGTGCATCATCATATGCAAGCTTTCTATCAATCTCCCTAGCCCATGGTGATATGACAGCAATCACAATTGGGTGGTGATGAGTTTCTTTTACTAATAACAGGAGGAGAAAGTGGTCTTTACTGCAGAGATCGAATTCGTTACAATCTCAGCCTCCTAAACTAGGGTCAATTTGTGCTCATTCTTCACTAAGAGAATGGCGAATACATATAATCTCGTCTTAAATTAATGTTTGTACAATTATCCACTTAGCAATGGACTTAATTCATGCCATCTTGTCTCGGCTAACTCCAGAATGTGCTTCATCTCGTCCCTTCCAACTGTTGTGCCGCCAACTTTCGACAACCCCATTATTTTTGGTTTGCCTGCTTCACAGTCAACGACCATAGTGATAGACTCATCGCATAATCCTTCTTCAAATGTGTCCGGATCCGCCAAGACCCAATATTTCTTATCCTTTCCGCGCTTTTGCTCTTTTGCCTTGAATACCAAACATGTGACAGCAACTGGCAGTCCTCTCAAATTAAGTCTCTTGGATAAAGATATCTCATCATCACAAAGTATCATCTCTCGATCTACGTCCCAATGTGCCTTTGGTAATCTCACATTCCTCAAAGCGGATACAACAGCGGCCCAAGCAGCATCAAATGGGTTTCCATCAAGCGAAATGAACAAAATGTCGATGTATAAAGTCCAAAATGCCTTAACTTCGGGCTCAACGCTCTCTGGTTCTTCTTCATCTTCCATTCTATCCTGTTCGTTCAGATCTGGTGGCTGATACCAAATTCTCAAGTCCTCATCATCTACCATGCGCGAACTGTGTAATAATGAATATATCCTCGTGCTTAAACTTTGCGCCAATGTAGTCGGTGGCTGACCAGGTAAAAATGCAGGCGAACATCCTGTAGCTAGCTCAATGTTTGGAACCAGTAAATCCAATTCTTTTGCTTCATTGTACCCCGGTCGCGACGAGGGAGCGGTCGTAGACTTGTCGACTCTGTAGGTTCCAACATTGCTGGCAAGAAGAATTTCACCTCGGACTCCACAGACGACGGCGGTATCTCCTATACGTACGACCGCGCTACCCTCAGCATGAGTGAGTGAGCCGGTATTGATGTGTGGGCCACGAAATTGAGTTGGCGATCGGCCATTTGCGCGTTTAGATGAATTAGTTGGAGAGCTTGGTTGGAGATGTGCGAGGAGATATGGATGAGGAGAGAGCTTCGCAAAAGTTTCCCGAGGAAACGAGAGTGTGGGTTGAGCTGTAGATGTCATTGTTGAAGGGTTTTATTATTTACCTGCTCGTATTGAAGATCACGAGGCGGAACCTTGAGTTTATCAGTTGAATGTCATCGGCTGAACTTGTTTTTCTTTTTGGAGCTAACAATGCTAGTTGCGGGTGTAGCTGTATGATATTAGCCAATTAAAAGACAGCTGAGGACAAGGCTGAAAAATCTTCCATGCTCACCTCGGACCACCAGAGAAATTCACGTCAACGCAGTACCGAGTGCCTTGGGCGCAGTGTGACACTCGCCCCTTACCTTGCCATTCATAATTTTATTCATTCACAGGGTCAATTCAAGCTGGCTACATACCTCATACTCGGTCGACAGAGAAGCCCTTGTTGAATTCGTGCCTGCAGGCTGCAACACATAAAGGGTGTGCATTTGTCTCAATTATCCCCACTTGAGCAGCGCAGACCAAGCTTGGAAGTTGGTGGAGGTGAAATGGAGAGTCGAGGACTGAGCGCGGGCTGGAAGTTCTGATGGGTCTACAGAGTTATTGAAATTCTGTTTGCAGACGTGCTCCGCAATCTTAGCAGAGCACAATCAAACTTTCTCTCAATCACAAAGTTTGTCTCATGGCTTCTGAATTTTGATAGAGAGCCGACTGTCATTGAACTGCCGGTCAACCAGTCCGGAGATATTACTGATAAGCGCTTTCCATCCTCGTTCAAGGTAATTGATGGGGGGAAGGGAGAATATTCCATTTCAAGATATAGCATTTGAACTATAGGCAATTTATCGGAGCAACTGGCTATATCGAGCCAATGTCAAATAGCCCATGGATATGTAAGTCTATTCTTTCGGGATTCGAGTACCACACGCGCATATTGCCCCAAATTGGAAAGCCATTGTTATCGTCTTCGTAATAACGAAACTGTGACGAGGTGGAGAAGCTTTTAATTAATCGTGAGAGGTTCCAACATGTTGTACATCAACTTGCTCCAATGGCCCTAATGTCGGGATCTCATCAATGATCATTGTTTAATCTTACGAGTCGTTTGGAGATGATAATTGGGCAACGGCAATGTTACTTACGATCAGGAAATCGAATTTATCCTGTAGATGGTTGTACGACCTACCAAGCCGGGGATATTGCAACTTACAGGGCCCCTTTCAGCAGCTAAAATATAAGCGAGGCAATCAACGTGCGTGTGTTAGCGCCCCTCTGCGCTGCAACCTTCAAAACATCCATCACAGACAATGATTGGTTGATACCACCAGAGAAATTATCACAAATTTGCAAAATTGCACAATCACGTTTTTTATTGTCTCATTGGAGAAAGCCATCCTTGAAGTTTGACTGGCCAATTCCTTTCGGGCCATAGGAAAAATCTTGATCTTGACTTTGTTCAACAACGCCATTCAACATGTACCCTCGGCCATGCATGCGTATCACACTCCTCGCAACGAGATGGTGCTGCAAGATTCTTCCCCTTTCCTTTCTGTTGGGCATGAAGCAAAATTGCAACCGTCATATTGAATAACACGGACTGCCGAAGAACGTGAGGGAGTTGAAATGTCCTCATGTGAGTATCGTTGTTATTAATCTTGAGTCATCTACGCACGCCCGCCCTCCACACTCTTCAGTCTGTATATCATTTGCTAGGCGGGAGCCACTTACATGGTAGTCGATAACGGAAACCGCGGCATCTTCCTTGACCAAGACAGGGCACATCCGCTTCGGGGTCCAAATCTTCGACTCGCCGCTATCATCCTAGAAGTGGCGCGACCAATACCATTGTAGAACAAACCACATTTTTTGCCAACGAGACAATAACATACCGAGTAAACACTACGTTCTGTGAAGTTCACCTTGCCACCCATCATACTAGAGTATAAGGGAAAGTCGAGTTTCTCGCCTTGAATCTACTAACCCCTTGTCTTTTTGGACGCCTTTCGGTTCCGGGTTTGTGCATACCTCGAGGTGATCGGATGCAATAAATCAGTGGTTGCAGGTGACGAAGTGACGGATTTAATCCACCTGCAGGAACATTGTGGATCTTGGCGTACTAATCATCGGCCATTCCCCACACCGATATTCTTGTGATATATCAGACTTTATCCAGAGAAGCTGTTGCCGTATAGACTTGTCGTGCCTCGCTTTGGTCGATTTCCCTTAAAATATCCTATCATCATTATCGCTCGCTCAAGTCTCTTGTGTCGACTGAGGGATCCGGAATCCCCCTACATCCTACAGACTCACCATCCTTACGACACGAGTAACTAGATGCCGCTACAATTTTCGAGACCCGATGTTCATCATATATACTAGAGTCATCCTACTGGGACCTTCACCACTTTGAATTCGATCCGGCATCCTTTGGATATACTCTGCTCGCCAAGTACAAGTCGACACATATCGAACTCGGACTCGATTTTGGTCAGATAAAACTTCCATCTTGGACATCGAATATCTTTGGAGATTTGATCCGCCTCCGAGTCCATGATGGTTGATCTAACGTCACAGGAAACATCTGTTGTGGGGGTTGCGTCTCAGACCGTTAAGGATTTTGCAAAACGGATAAATATCCCACTCACGGCCACTAGCCCTCCTGGCCTGGTCGCAGCTAATACTCTGGATCCATGGAAGAAAGCAGGGAAATATGCATTGGCATGGACTTACTTTCCGCTGATTTTAGTTTGCCTAGTCGCAATAACTAGAGCATATCATCTTTGGACGGACAAGCTGCGACAAGCATACCACAAAAATGAAGTCGAGAAACAATTAGTACGCTACTATCAGCAACAGCAAGATGAATACACAATGTCAAATATCCATACTGCAGGATCAGAGCAGCAATTCTTTCCTGCACCGATCCCTGATGAGAAACCATTTATTGCTGTCACAAAAGGGTCACATTGGTCGTCAATACCATTAATAAACGATACATTAGCATTGTTTAGATGGGTATTCTATCGTCCAATTCCAGAGCTTCGATACAAGAAAAGACTTATCACCGCGTTTCCCTCTTTGGCGGCCTTTGCAATACTAATAATCGGCCTAATTTTTGTCACACTCCAATGTTTCTTACCCCAGCCGCTCTATTGGGAAAGCATTCGGTATGGATCTCCTCCGCTGGCTATCAGGGCAGGAATGATGTCTGTGGCGATGACTCCGTGGTTAATTGCTACGGCCATGAAGTCCAATCTGATCTCATGGATAACAGGAATAGGTCATGATCGACTAGGTGTCTTTCATCGATGGGGAGGGTACTTGTGTCTCTTCCTGGCCCTCGTGCACACAATCCCCTTTTACGTACAACCTGTATGGGATGATGGAGGAATGACAGTTTTTGGCAAACTTTTCCCAGCAAGCCGTGGCATCATCTATGGGACTGGAATCGCTTGCCTGGTGCCTCTAGGATGGCTCATTATTGGGTCATTGCCAATCGTTCGAAGACTTGCATACGAACTATTCGTCGTTCTCCATATCCCAGCAGCCGTAGTTTATGTGGGCATGTTGTTTTGGCACACTAATAATTATCTTACCTCCTGGAGCTACCTTTACGCAACCGTCGCCATCTGGGCTTTAGCTTATCTCACGCGCATCGGTAATTTGAACTGGTCAAAGCCGTGGAGAAGCTCTTTTTTGGTTGGTGACGAGGCTGCTATTACTCTGATGGCAGAGAATGCAATCAAGGTAACTGTTCCAACACAGATGACATGGAGGCCTGGTCAATACGTCTACCTCCGTATGCCGGGGATCTCCGTGTTCGAAAACCACCCGTTTACCATCTCTTCTCTCTGCAGTGAAGACTTCCCGTCCGAGTACGGCGAACAATATAGGGATTGTACTGTGGTATTCAGACCATTTGGAGGGTTTACTAAGAAAGTCCTTGAGACTGCTACTCACAACGGCCCTTTCAAAACATATCGCGCTTATCTAGATGGACCATACGGCGGTATGCAACGAGAACTTGCCGCGTTCGACACTGTTATTCTTTTCGCTGGCGGGAGTGGCATCACAGCCATCGTTTCACAGCTACTAAACTTGATTAAGAGAATGAGGGATGGGAAAGCAGTCACTCAGAAGATTGAAGTTGTATGGGCATTGAAGAGGCTTGAATCCATGGATTGGTTTAAGGAAGAGCTTAGGATCTGCAGAGAATACGCACCGCCGGACACTATTAATTGCCAATTCTTTGTGACGACGGCAAAGAGATATGCAAAGACAGATGTTGCTGGACGAGCTCAACGACCGTTGAGCACGGCATTTCACGACAAGTTGGACGGTTTTGTTGCAGGTATTGCATCTAAACGGAACTCGGCTCTCATTCGTGATGAAGCTCAGGGCAACGAAGAGATGGAAAGGGAATTGAGAAGAGAGGATGAAGATGCTATAACATCTTTACCACATTCGAAACATCTACAACCAAGACTGCACCCTAATGTACAAACCTCATTTCCTCCACCACCAACGACAGGGTCAAAATTGAAGAACTCTGAGAAGACACGTTCTCTGTTGGCAGCATTATCCCCGGATTCCCACGAGGCTACCCGAAAATTCTTGTCGCCTCTAGGTTTGGCTACCAAAGTACAAAGTGATTCCAAAGAATCATTCCACTTTCCAGCACCCCCACAAAAGCTAGATGCTCCTCATTTCCAATACGCTCCGCCCTCAGCCGATTCTAATCGAGCTAGCTTTATTCCTGATACAGCACGCAATAGCTATAATCCTCAGGACCATGTTGAAGACCATGCAGAGCAATACAATCCTGATATGCAATCTTCGGAAGAAGGTCGGCTCTCAGAACAATTCGCGCCCCGAGAGTACGCACCCACACCTCCAGCAAAAGACACACCGAAGACGTCAAATGAGATAGAGGCCATGCCTTCTTTGAAACCCCCGCAACCCGCTCACTTGAGACAAAAGTCGGAGGAATTAAAGCTCCAGATTCCGCAGTCAAATTTCCAACAAAGCATCCCGGATCCAACCTTTGACTTTGGCTTCGCATCAACACCTACTCTGTTCCAAAAGAATCTCATGCGTTTTGCATTTGTTGCGCCCAAGAAAAAGGAAGGGTGGACTACTGAGTATGGTCGTCCTGATCTAGGATATATGCTGAAGGAGATGGCCACTGGGGGGCCTGATGGACATGGTATATTCGGTAGGAGGACATGCGTCTTTGTTTGCGGTCCTCCTGAAATGCGTATCAATGTAGCAACTACGGTGGCGAAGCTGCAAGCGGATATTTGGGGCGATGACAGTAAAGACGAGATTTTCCTACATACTGAAAATTATGCTATTTAATTGGGGTTTATTCGTGGGTGTGGGTGTTATTTATGAGCTGGACGTTCAAAAATCAGTAAATACTTAAGTCTAATGGTGTTATGGGGCAATGGGAGAGAGCCTGGATCCCAAAAAATTTATACCAAAGGGCATCAAGGCGGGAAATTGTGGGCATCTCTATTTGGAGTAATCCCCTCAACTATTTTTTGTAATTCATCATAGGCTCATGAGCCGGTACTGTTATAATCTCAAACACTTAATGATCACAGAACAATTCCTGAAATGAAACAATTGCATTTGAAGGCTACCTAGTATATAAATCACCTGGCTGCAGTATATATCTGCGAGAAGACCGAGGCCATAGTAATGCAGTACAACAAGACCACTTCGGTAGACGGACGGCGGTTAAGACTGAATTTCCGAATACAACACAACAGGCGGATGAAACGCTGTAGCAATATAGCCATTTCAATAAGGAACCAGCACAGCATTTGTATTCCCTGAGGTTCCGAACCACGTCAATGTGTCCCGTTATACTACATATCGATAAACCTGCAGCATCTGCATCTGCCATTCGAGCACCGTAATAACTAGCCTTGTAAATTGTATATCCCGTATCACAAATATTTCCCTTTGCATGCCTGATGATAACTCAAGGTGGGGGATAAAATTCCAACTTTTAGAGATATCCCGTCGGCCATTGATATGTAGCAACCATTACGAACCGCTTCCTTCAGAACATAGTTTCCAGAGCAGTAGATACAGGACGCTGAATTGGTCTTTCGTCCAACTAGAAAGATCTACTGAAAGATCTTTCCCTACGACCGCATCTTCATGAGGAATGCGAAGATTTGAATTGTGTCGGACGACTGATAAGGGAAAGAAAAAAAGATTTCGTGAGAAATTTATCATAGCTTGAGAAAATTGAAACGCTAAACCTAGTTTGGATTAAAGTTGGTTTTAGCGATTGAGCTAGTAAGCCCAAGGGTGACCCACTCAGCCTCAATATAAATCGCACAAACTTTTCGCGATCGTAGTAAAATGGAATCCTTGAGTGAAACGCAATGGGACTTGGTGATTGAGGGCACTGGGTTGAAGCATTCTTTGCTTGCCTTGTAAGTTAATGACTTTATCAGTTCCGCCGTGGACCTGGTTGCAGAAGACGAGGCAGTTTAAGAAGAAAACTAACTAACATAGTAGCATGAAGAGCCCTCTCTCGTTCGAACAAGAAAATATTGCACGTCGATAGTAATGAGTACTATGGAGATGAAGAAGCAGCCTTTAGTTTGCAGGAAATAGATGCATGGGTGAAGCGGTCGGTTTCGCGGAACAGTACATCAACTTTCAGCAATGCTTCCGCAGCATATGATTCTGCCCATAAAGAGAAGCTAAGCTTCTCCAGAGCATACAATCTTACCCTCTCGCCACAAATAATTTACACGCGATCACCACTCCTGTCCGCCCTCGTCTCCTCGAAAGTCTACAAACACTTAGAATTTCAAGCTGCCGGTAGCTGGTTCTTATATAACGATGCATCACTGAAACGTCTGCCATCAGGTCGAGAAGATATCTTTCAAGATGACAGTATCGATAATCGCGCGAAGCGATCGCTGATGAAATTCTTGAAATTTGTCGTGGACTACGAGAATCAGGTTGACGTCTGGCAAGACAAAGCCGAGATGGGATTGTCCCAGTTTCTCGCGGATGAATTCAAACTTCCTCAGAATCTGCAGATACTCATTGGAGCTTTGACATTGTCACTCGACACACTTGAGGATACAAAAGTGGAATACGCGCTGCCGAGAATCCATAGACATCTGACATCAATTGGTGTTTTTGGTCCTGGATTTGGAGCTGTCGTACCTAAATGGGGTGGTGGAGCTGAAATTGCGCAAGTTGCGTGTAGAGCTGGTGCAGTAGGTGGTGGGGTTTATGTTTTGGGAACAGGCATCCGCGATGAGAAATGTATTGAGGATGACGGCACCACAATACATGAAGTCGAGCTGTCGAATGATGAGAAGGTTAAAACCAGATACATTACTCGAATTAACAAAGACGCACCTCCCGACCCAACACGAGTTGCCAAAACTATGGCTATTGTGTCGTCGCCTTTGAAAACCCTTTTCACTAGTACAGTAGAAGGTTCTCCAGCCTCTGCTGTATCTGTCATCGTTTTTCCAACGAAAACCATATCAACACCAGATATCACTCAAGATTATCCAGTGTATATCATGGCTCATTCCAGCGAAACTGGTGAATGCCCTGCCGGTCAATGTTAGTATTATCTCTTCTTTTCTACTCAATCACGCATTATATGATGAACAAACTTCAAATACTTATCTACATTGTCTGAATTCAATTGAAGATAACAACCCTGTCTGATAATGCTACCATCATTCTCAAATTATTTGACCTTACTTTTGTGGTACCAAATAGCTAATGATGACTTTAGGTATCCTATACGCTACTACTCTCCTTCCCGCATCTTCCACCACGCAGACTGGCAAATTTCTTTTAGATGAGGTCATCTCTAAGTTTCTCGGGACAAACGAGGGTGATGGTGGACAAGTCCTTTATAGCGTATATTACGAGCAGCAAGGAACCAAGGATAAACTAGACCTCGCCTTCAATGATCTAGTCTTGAAGGATGTCGAGGAGGAGTGGAAAAGAGTTTCTGATGGAGATGAAGAGTCTCCTTTCATGGTATTTGAAGAACGGAATGGAATGGGTGATGATGATGGCACGGAATATTAACGAGTCTGTCAAGGAGTTATGGTGCCATTACATTGAGAGCTCATGAAGCGCTTGCAGACTCCATTTATGAATTATGATATCATGACTTCTACACTATACAATCATCTTTATACATTTATGCATCCGCGTGATGCTGTACCTTTCCACTCCAAATAAACTCATTACGACGGCTTCGTCAAACCTCATCGCCACTAAAGTTTCAAGCTTCTTATATTGTGCAAGCTTTTTGCTTCGTTTGTAATCTCACAATGCAAACTTCCAAGTGGGATACAATACTCGTCGCAAACTTATGAAGAATTGTCCCTTCATTCCAAATTATCAGGAAGATGGAATTCAGCCTCTCAGACTAGCTAGCTAATCCATCTAATTAGACAGGACTTTAAGTTTTAACTAACATTTCTCCTCAAAATCCTATGCTATTTGTCTTAGATTAGGTATATCCTATATATAGTTATGTGATCTATATTTTTATGTTATATTAACCCACGGAAATGGGTATCGAAAATATTTTTATAATAATAATATATGTGAGTATTTAATCGGGGGAGTTATTACTCAAAAGGTGGAATACAAGATAGTGAGATTTCTTTTGCTTCTCTTCATTTCACTTCTCATCAACTTAGGTATACCCTACCCTCCCTTCCAAGGTTCTCGGAGGAAAAAAATAGATTGGAGTATAAGGTGAGTAGAATATAAACCCTAAAACCTCAAAGACGGACACATACGACCATAGACTGAAGAGAATTGGGCATCCCGTCCGCTCTGCCATACACAAGCTTCAGATCGGTAGATTAGTAGTTGGGTGGGTGACCACCAGCGAATCCCTACTGTTGTATGTATTTTTTGCCTTTTATTAGAGAGAGAGTAAGGGGTAATGGAGGTTGTTTTTTGTGTTTGTGTGTGTGGGGAGGGGGAGAAAGATGGGGTTAGAGCCTTTTTTGGAAGGTGGGTAGGGGCGGGGGTTTCTTAGAAAAGAGGGGTGTGAGAAGGTCGCAGGAGGGAGGATGGGGGAGGGACGGGTGCATTTGCTTGGGAATGAGATTACAGCCGTGGTTTGAGAATATGAGGGGTGTTATGGAAATGATGAGTGGTGGTGATGAGGGAGAGCGGGAGAAAGGGAAGGGGAAGGAATACGGCGGGTTGCTCGATGAAGGAAATATATTTTAGAGAGATACCTTGTATGAAGTAATATAGAGAACAAGTGACGGACTAAAACAACGAACTCTAAGAACCATTTTCATTACACCAACTTTATTGACTGCCCTTCTTTCTCCCTAACATCCTACCTAAATATGTAGATATATTCTCGAGAAAATAATGAAAATCCCTCTTCATTTTCATCCAGACAATGTTGTTTTACCTTGCATCCGAGTATGATGTAGTTTTATCACTGTGGAACTACCACAGTGGAAATCAGCTCTGTGCTTATACATCTTCCTTCCTTCCCATCAACATCAAGATAGGAAAAAAAGAATTGTCTCCTAAATTTTACAATACCCTCGGTATTTTTGTTTCTGGAATTAGAAATCTCATACTCTCTCCTTCTCCCCCTCTGCCCATGAATCATCCAACCTCAGTTCCTTGAGCGATATCATCAACATCAAACCCCTCTACTCTACATCATCCATTCTTACACCAAAATTTTCACAATTTCCACATCTCCCCAACCTTCTTTTGCGTGATCCATCTACTGAAAGTCTATACCTCAAGCTCAACACCGAACCCAACTCGAACTTCAAACTCCAAATTCCAGACTCCAAACCTTAACCTCAAACCCCATCATCTAGCATCTAATATCCAGCATTACAAAATACGAAATACGAAAGAGAAAACCGATTCCTCAAACGCAATCAGGCTCTAAAATCAATCAATTGCAACTCTTGCCAGTCGTGACATTTTGCAACTTTTTTCCACTGGTCCAACTGCTCCCACTCCTCCAACTCTTCCAATCCTGCCCACTCTTCCCATTTTTACCACTCTTCCAACTCCTCCCACTCTTCCCATTCTTCCCACTCTTCCAACTCTTCCAACTCCTCCAACTCTTCCCACTCTTCCCACTCTTCCCACTCTTCCCTTCCCCCCCCCCCCCCCGCCCACAACCACTCAAAAAGCTCAACCCAGCCTCTTCCTCAAACCCTTCAATTTTTTCAACCCCTCCAACCCCATTCCAAATCTCAAACCTCAAACCCAAAGAAGATACTAGGTAAACACAATCCCACACCCCGCAGCTACACCACAAACACAAGAATTTTCAATTCTATTATCCGATAAATGTTTATTATGTGGCCAGGAAATAAATGAATGAACAAATGTGTGCTAGATACCTAGACCTAGGTCAATATAGATAGTATCAATATCTAATTTATATTCTTATCTTAAAGAGACGTGTTTAGGAACTTTAGGTATAGTACTACTCATATTTACACTTACCTAACATTACCTACCTAGGTAGATAATGTTAATATTATATATATTCAGCACCTTTTCGTATTTTTCACAGGCTAAATGTGAATGGTATACTTAGCTACTTAGGTAGCTAACACTGTACGAAATAAAAATTATGTCCGGTTCACACATATTTCCTTCCTTCCCATTGTACCCATATTAAACATATAGAAGCATAAAGAACACTGTATATAGAAACCCAGAAAGCATTTTTGAATTATGAAAGTTAGGTTTAGTAGTGTACAAGTACGGTTCCCCTTCACCCCTTCATCACCAGCTCATATCATATCGGAAATGAACTCCTGATTCATTCATCCAAATCCTCCATATCTTTCTCAGATATAGAACTTCTGCATAGCACAAAATGCAAATTAAAAAAAGCTCGTGTCGGACCAAGGAAATTCTCTGTACCGTGTTCAATTCAAGTTGTTTCATCTATTCGCAGGGAGAAAAATTGCAAACCTGCCACCGTGCTTTGTGGGAACTTTCCATACTTTGCCTCTAGTTTCCCCATGAGGAGTTTCCTGAGCCGTAGCTTTTTCTATTCCCCCATATCATATCTTCCTTTAAGGATGTGAATATTTATGATTTAATAGCACCCTCAACCTTTCCCTTCACATCATGACCGACCTCAGCCGCTTTGTCAGTGAGCGATTTTGTCTTTTCGCTGCGTTGATGTATGAGGATACGGGTCACTTGGACGACACCGACCATGCCCAGGAAAAAGTTGACGGTTGCGAGGCTTTTCATTCATTAGTTTCGTACAAGATGGAGCGAAGATGATATTCTAGAGAAAACACAAAGGGAGAAGGGAACATACAGAATATTTCTTGGCTTAATGATTAAACACCATCGAGTCCAAATGATACCAGTAGCAGTGAGAGCGGCGTTTTGGGTAAGAGAAAGTTTTTCGGCAGGACGAGCAAGATCAGAGATACCAGCTAAGACAAGAGCCCACTGATAATAAGTTAGCTATTAATTAATTGCTAAAAAAAGGATCCCAAGAGAGTGGCATTGGATGGTTGAGAAGGGCTTTTGGAAGCTTGGAGATTGTGCAAATTCCAAGCATATAGTGATGGAACAGCGCGGGGGAATGGGGATTTATATACCTTCATGACAGGAGCCCTATATTAAAAAATGGTAGTTAGCATAAATTCATACATTTGGCTATGCTCTCCCTAATCTCACAGATCCCATATCTCCATTTCTCAACATGAGCACCTTTGTCCAAAGAATTTCCCTTTTATCTTCCCCCATACACCCCTACTCCATCTCACTGTCTCTCTCTCTTCCCACAAACCAAGACTAAAACCAAACCAAGCACCCAAAGAAAAATCCCAAACCTACCAAAAATGCACAGTCTTCAACCCAATTGGACTATCCCACATCCTTTTAAACCAACTAACCTGCGCCGCAGTCGCAGCAGCTGCCTCTGTACTCTGAAATCTCTTGGTCTGCTTTCCCGCAAAACGAGTTCGTGCAAATGCATTTCTAATTGTTGAGTACTGGCGCGCAGACGAAGAGTTAGAGGTGAAGAAACAGGATGCTGCTGAGGTAGAGGAAGGGGTAGAGGAGACGAATTTGTTGATGGAAGTTGGATTGAAGCGCAGGGCGCGGGTGAGAGTTGATGGCGCCATTCTTGTGGTGAGGATTTGTGGAAATTCGAGGTGAAGTGTGGTGGTGTTGATGGGGTAGTATATTGCTATGTATTTGAGGTTTGAGGTGGATGGAAATAACCGTTGCTACTCCGGGGTTAGTATTGGTATAAATTCATTTCACACTATTCAAAATATCTCCCAAACTTCACCTCTCCCCAATCTCCCTTGAGTATAACAAAGCTGATATAGGAGTTAAATAAAGACAAGAAATATACTACTCACATTTTAATTTGTCAATTTATTCAAATTCAAATAATCAACCAAAATATCCAGCTCTTTTGCCTTACCAGACTTTGTTCAGTTGTGTCTTGATGTCGGAGTCCGTCGGAGGGTGGCATAAAGTGGCTGGTGAAATTATGCTGCTTGATCTTGCATAAAGGGATTTTTGTGCTGTGGCTGAATTCATTAATTGACAAACTTCTGCATAAATACGTTAACCAGAAAAAACCTAAAACGCATTATCAATGTCCGGATAGCTTCACTGAAGCTAGTCCAGCGATGAACAATTGACTTTCCACATACGACACTGCAAAACCGCGACAGAGGAAAGGAGAATAGACGCGGAATTCTTTGGGAAAGGAAGAAAGGATATTTATCAATATGTCGGCCAAATACGCATTCTCGCAGACTTTGAAGGAAGTCAGGTTTTTATTTTGTCAGACAGGTGCTCATAGTGATGCCACTAGGTATGATATCTCATCCTTGTTCTTCTTTCCAGCTGGAGGCTCCTCCTTGTCTGATATTTCATATATTCTACCATATTTCCCTTCGTCTCAGTTCGATAACTGCAATATTGCAATGCCGAATCTAACAACCCCTCCAGATCATTCCTCGCAAGAACATACCCAACGATGAAAAAGCACAATCCAAATACGCCAATAATGTTGAGAGAGGCAGCGGGTACACAGCCGAAGGTTTATGCACGATATGAGTTTGGGAGGGAGGTTAGCGAGGATTTAGCTGGTAGGTTGATCTTTGATTATGGTCTATGGTCTATTTGTTAGGTGATTGCTTGGAGTAGAATGAGAAGGGGTGCAATGTAGGGGTGCAGTGGGAGTGTGAGAGAGAATGGAAGACGTGGATTAAGGAGGGGGTGATTTAGATTGTGTGTTGTAAAGAGTGTGTAGGCTGGAGCGGGGTGAAGAGAAGTGACTATGAATTGGGATGCACATTGCCATTGAGGGCTCCAATTATCAATTGGACTGAGATGGCAAGGAATGCTGGGGGAAACCTCTAATCGCGCTCAACTGGAAGGGAAATGCTAACTCGGGCTGAACAGGACTGTCAGATAAAGAAATCGAAGAAAAGGTTACAGGGTTAGTCAAGCAATAAATGGGAGTTTGCTAGCGAGGTCAGGGTTGCGGTAGTGGGAGTCGTAAATGGAGTCATGAAATGGGAAGCATGAAATGGGAAGCATGGAATGAGAACCTCTAATGGACAAAGAAAGTAGAAGCAAGGAGCCGTTGTACATATCCCGCGGATGAGACGAAGATAGAGCTCCGGAAAGAGGGTGCTAAATAAGCATTATGTTATGAAGTCATCCGATGTAGACTGGGATGTTTTTTGGATTTATCTTGAGAGGAAGATCTGAGATATATGCTGTCGTTTGTGGATGATGGGATATAAGTATATCCTATCCCCATCATTTCCACTTTCCATTTTTCATTTTCCATTTCCCCTCCATCTACGAAAACTAGGAGACTAAACAATCGCCATTGCCATTTCCACATCCCCTAAATACCCCAACCTCATATCATATATCTCCCACCACCCACAATATCACCACTCCGTGTAACATTCCACATATTACACATACACGCGTCTCCACGTGCATGTAATCTTACTTGTACAAAACACCAGCTCAATACATCATTTCACCTCCCTTTTCGACTTTTGAAACTTCATCAGTATGCCATATGTATTGGTGTCTATATCTCATGATTAGATACCCTCCTGAGTGCAAAATGCATGCACAATTGTAACTTCCGATATCGCAGTTGGAGGGGTCACGGGTAACGTGTATCGAGGCTGCTGGAAAAGATTATGAGAGACGATTTGTGTGATAGATTTTGACTCTTCGATTACTGGGGACGGAGGGATTTGGTGTCTTCGAACTTGATGGAATAGCAGATGTCTCATGGTTTGGTGATGGATGGAGTTGTTTCAGAGAAGATGACTGAAAATAGCTAGCGATCAAAAACACATGTATACTTTGAGTAGAGATCAATATGGTACTCCCTCTATGTTTTCTGTATAACCATCTAGCCATCCACCTAGCCATCTACCCAGCCATCTAATCTTCCATCTATCCCATGCTCAATATCTCGCCCGCAAATTTCTATCATGTATGTGTATTGGTATCGTATCGACGTTATTTTTCATTCCTTCCCTCCCCTCCCCTTCCATTCCATTCCATCAAAACCTACAACTTGCTCAACACAGCCTCAGCACCAGAAACCGTCACCTCTCTTCCAGGCTCCTTCTCCGCATATACAATCTTTCCATTATCAATAACGAGAGCATAACGACCAGTCCGTTCGCCGGCAGTCCATCCAAGAAGCTTCGAGAAAGCACAGTCGGCATCGGAGAGGAAGAGCTACGCGGTGTAAAGATTAGTGAGGATTTATAGGAAGAGGGATAGGAAGGAGGAGAAGAGAAGAGAAGACGTACAATATCTTCATTATGAATACCATTTGCTTTTCCCCATGCGCTCATTACGAAAGGATCATTATAGGCAATGGTAGCCACGACATCGACGCCCTTCTCGCGGAAAGCAGGGAGGTTGGAGATGTAGCCTGGTAGATGGGATGCGCTGCATGTAGGGGTGAAAGCACCTGGGAGGGAAAAGACTACGACTTTTTTGTTGGCCCATTCTGTGGATTGTTAGTGGGAGTTTGAGGGGAGTTTGGGAGGGGGAAATCTAGTTAAATGGATGGATGGATAGTTAGATAGGTACCTTTGGATGCATTATATGAGATTGGGATTCCGCAAGCTTTGATATCTTCATTTTCGGGAGAGGGGGCAATCCAGCCGAACTTGATGCCTTCTGGGAGAGAATCACCGAGTTTCAAGGTTGCTTCGGACATTTTGATGTTGGTGAGGTTTTGTGTGTGTGTATATGTGTTTGTGTGGATGTGATTGATATTGCTTGATATTATAGCAAGTAATTATATGTGATGCAGGAAATAAGAATAGGAAAGGAAGATGAGAAAGAGACAGTTTCCTACATATATATATATACAAATACTACTACCCAACAAACTTTACCCTACCTCATATCGCACCCGTCTTCGGAGCCATTAACTCACTTTTTGCACTTCAAGCACATTCTACCCCACCACTAGCTTTGTCCCAAAGTATTCACTTTACTCAACTTTATTCATCTTGGTTAGGTAATATACTCCACTAAACCCATCAATTCCTCTCTGTGATTCGTTACTGATGTTGGAAAAGTATCCATACTTTCCATCATTTTATGGATACGTCGCTGACTGATGGCATTCTCTGGAACATTTGTACGGGTATAATTTTGTGTTCCTGAAACTAGACCACCGTTGATTTCAAAGGTGAGTGTGATTACGTCAGCTTGCTTGCATAATCGTGACGTTCTAGATTTTGGGGATGGGCTGGATGGCTTTCGGTATGCTGACACTGGACGGGACCGTACGGTTGGTACGATTGTCTTTCAGGGAGTGGTTACTGGATTTTAAGCGCTGAGAGGGAAGGAATCAATGGTTCCATGGGCTAGATTCTCCTGAAACCATTGCGGGTTAATTAACCTTGATGTAAAATCCTCAAGAATAGAAAATGATTTAAAGCAAAAACTTGGAATCTTGAGGTCATTTCTATTTTCAACATCGCATCTAGATAGACGGGAGAGACGAGAAGGGACCGAGTGAACGATTTGAATTTCAAGCAAGCTGAGATCAAAGCAAAACCAAAACTATTGAAAATCCCAATCAGTGACACAAAGTCATGCTGCAAATACTACCTAGGTAATATCGATATTCAGTAAGATGCAAATTGAAAAGTATTTGATTCAAACAGCCACAAATCCCTAATGTGAAGAGCTTGCGCTGAATAGGAAGTTGAGGTTTCCGTTTTCTGCAGTTGGGGCCGGCTTTTGCGCTGTTCGGATTTCGGATTTCATGAGTAAATTAGGGGAGAGGAACCGGGCTTTGGCTGATGGCAAGATTATCTTGCCGCCTCTAATAATATCTTACTATGGTAATATCAAAGCAGTTATGATTTTTGAGGCTATTTGCTCAAGAGTAAGAAGGAATTGATGAGTCTGTGAAAGATGGAGAAAGCATTTGTGGTTGTCGTTTGTCCGCAATGATAAGGTTACTGAGGGGTAAAGATGGGCTGAAAGAAACACACATAAGTTGTTGTTGTTGAACAAGGTCAATAGTAATCAAGTGTGCATATGCATCTACATCCTTCAAAGAACTACCCTTCATCTGATTCTAATACTTATATACCTGTACTTCAATCATCTCAATAACCAAACTGATATTTTCTCTCTATAAAATCAACATGGCATCAGCAACTAAACCACCCGTTCCTCCTTTTACTGAAGAGACTGCTCGGATCAAGGTCAAAGCTGCTCAGGATGTGTGGAATACAAAGTACGTGATGATTCTCCATCTTACTTGATAATCGTCCGATGATCAATTGACATACTTTAGAAATCCTCAAGTGGTAAAAAATGCATATACTGAAGATTCCATTTGGAGAAACCGCGATACATTTATCCGAGGCCAGGATGAAATCGTAGAATTCCTAAGCAAGAAATGGGCAAAGGAAAATGGGTATAGGTTGAGAAAGGAACTATTTGCATTTACAGAGAATAAAGTATGTTTTCTGGTGATGGCTGAAAAAAGGATGCTAATGACTCGAATAGATAGCAGTACAGTTCTGGTACGAATTTCATGATGAAGATAGCCAGTGGTGGAGATGTTATGGTCTTGAAGATTGGACTTTTGCGACTGATGGGAGGATGAGGAAGAGACAGATGAGTGGGAATGATGTTAAGATTGCGGATGAGGAGAGGTGGTTTAAGGATGGGGTGGATGTTAATGAAGTTGAGATTTCAGAAAAGCATTGGTGAAATGATAGATGATGTATTTTGAGGAAAGGAGCAATTTTTGCTGAGTCTACTCCGTGGTATTGTTGTCGGTCGTGATTATATAACTTAAAATAAGAATTGGTCTCTCCACACTCCGCATGCATCACACATCAAATCGATCGACATTCAATGCATCATGCATGATGCATCTGTTTCCCTCAGATCTTTTTGTTTCTTGTCTTATTTTATATATCTCCACCCGATGTTATGGCCAACATATGATCGTTTCGAATGACTCGGAGGAAACGCCAGTGACAATTTTCACACGGCCTTTACAGTAACCAAGTTGATGGCTTTCGCATCTTCTGCTTGGTCTATCCCTCCTTAGTGCAACTCTCGCAAAATTAAGTGCACCCCACTCTATAGATATCATCAAGTCGCCAATCTATACAATATTTAGCCTGGATGGTTCCTAGCATAGCCTCAACCTTTTAAAACAATCAGCTCCCGCTCAGCCGGTCCAGGGATATTCGAAGTGGGCCTCTGTCAAATTGTCAATACTACCTACAAGCTTCTGATTCTAGCTCGATCCTTTGAGATTCTTTCCGCGATCTAAGGCTTGCTATTTCGATTTTTGAATCTAAACTAGCCTCAGATGTTGTGTGTATCCCTCGTGGTCTTTAAGCCCCATCGCATGAGTTCTCCAATGAGAATGTTGAAACGTATCATTAATCTCATCTAGCTCAAAGAACACTTCTACTTGGGCCACTCAGTGGCCAGTCACGTAACCGAGCATATCTGAACTAAATATTGTTCATCGAGAGTTGCAAGTGGAGACGAGAACCACTCCATATCTCTTCAGGGCTTGTCCTGGCACAAAAGATAGAGTTTCAGCACTTGCGCACTACTGTGGCTTTTTTCTTCGAAGGCTACCAATGGGCTCAAGGCTTGCTTAGAGTTAGTTCTCATCCACTCACAAGATCGATTGGATCGAGCTTGAGTGAGAAAATTTTACGCCAATATGGGGTTCGAGCATTGGACGGCAAGCAAATTTCAACCTTGAACCGTCATATGTGTGCAGTAAAGAGGCTTGCTGGTGGCCGAGTGAAGCATGCCCTATTCAGCCGTGAAAAGTATCTTCAAAAGGATATAATAGAACAATAAACCGCCTCTACTCACTCGCGTCAATCTCAAGCCCTATTGATTCACAGATCTTGGTCTGAAGTTGTTCAATCGTTCCAATACATCCACGGCAGTCATCTGCGTACCTTCCTTTCAAGTCTTCAGTGCCTTCTCTTTTCATATCAATCCTCACTTTCCCTTGGTTTGACGATACTTTTATAAAACGCTAGTTCTGTATATTCTTTTTCCATATTATTGTTTTACTGTTTCAAAATTTCAACTACATAACTTGGCTACCTTTTTGGCTCTCATCAAATTGCAATCATGTCGGGCTTTATACCTTACCTATGGGAGGTTATTTCAAATGTCAATTACAGTCGTCCAGATTATATCATAAAACATTCAGCTTCAACGGAATCCTCGACAGAATCCTCAACAGAATCTCCGGCAGAGTCCAGCGTAGATCTCACTCAGACGCCGTCAAAAGGTTCCGGCAAATATTCTCAAGGCATTCCGGATGCTCTTTCATTCGATAATATTATCAATGGCGGAACTTGTCCTGTAAGATGAATCTCATTTATATTCCTTTGAAAATTTCTGCCCTGGGCGTTTCTTAAGTCTAGCTGCATACCTTATGCATATAACTGATCATGGAAGCTGGATCACACCCGTATCTCATCATGTTGCTAATGGGTTCTCTTAGCCTATGACTGTCAGGGAGTTCATGAATTTCCTCCAATTCGTTGAACACGCTCCAGAAAACCTTCAGTTCTTCCTCTGGTTTCGAGATTATAAACTTCGTTTCGAGAGACCGAAACCGCCGAATCCCTTTTCAACTCCTCCTGCAACGGCCACTTCGGACAACCAGGCTTTTGCCTTGTCAGAATACCAAAACGATTTCGCATCTCGCTTTCATGATGGGGCTGAAGATGAGCAGCCAATAAATCAAACCAAGACAGTCATGAATCCTCAACCACAGTTTATAGTCCCTTGGGAGGCAGACGTTGATAAAGAAGGGCCTTCCTCAAAGGAAGCTCCCCTTGTCAGCCCAAGCTACGTATCGTGAGACTGCCAAGCAAGTATTCGTTCGTGCTGGTGTTAAGGTCCCAGGTAATTGCTCTATCATACTCTTTTCGACAGAATCTGACTCTATTTCCAGATACTAATCTCCCGTACCGTGACGAAATCGATCGAATTATTGCCATATATATTGCAGATGATGGTTCTCGTCAACTCAATCTCGCCTCACGTCAAAGGAGAACTCTGATCGAATGTCTTTCAACTACGACACACCCCACCGCCTTCCTACCCATCATTAAAACCGTCGAATACGGCTTGAGACACCAAGCACATCCCAATTTTATCCGCTGGAGTATTTGTAATGGTAATAAGCCACGTCAGGTGTTTGCCAAGGGTCTTGGTGTGGCCCTTATTATTTTCGGTTTCTTGTACGCAACTCTTACAACCCTCAGTAATATGTCTCGAGGATGGCGTGCATTTTCAGCAATGTTCTGGGTACTGGGTGCTTCCACATTGTATGCAGCATTAAGGGGTATGTGCGTTGTACTACACGGGCTCCATCATCGACATCTTCGACCTTGGGAGTTGTGGGAGTCCGAGGAATCCTCTATGAACATGGAAGACGCATCTAGTGGTGAAAAGAGTGAGAAGAATGAAGAGTATCCATGGATGAAGAAATACGAGAAGAGGTTCATTATCAGAAAGATCTTTGATCGAGAGGTCTGGGTACAGGAACCAGCATTGAGACAGATACAGGACATAATCTTCCTGCAGTCTTTGCTTGCTGGGTTTGGTGTGGCTCTCGTTTTTACAGTCATCTTCTTAGCTGTCCCTGGGGGTCGTTTTTTCTGAGTAGTAAGGACAATAAAGCGAAATGAGAGGTATGAATTCAAGAAGGCGTGGTATTTTCAAGCAGGCGTAGTATTGGGATGAACATTTGATATATGGATGATAAGATGCCTTATTACTTGTACAAAATTTGCTGGGGCTGCTGGTTTTGCTACCTCATATTTGCTATAAGATAAGGATGGGAGTTGCGGAAAGTAACTGTACTTTTTATGAACCTTGGCCATGTATTATGTAATGAGAGCCTTATTTGTAAGATGTTATTTTCAATTATACTATATACCGTCACATCAGTCCCCTCGGAATATTTGTAAAGCATCAATAAACGTTGTATGTCATAATGACGATGATCCTTAGACTTCAGACGAATATTATCCAGTGTTTAAATCCTATATGCATGGCGTTTCAGCCTCCGAGGGGATGTTTTGCCAAACAGTTAGGAGATCAATCAAACTTTCCGGGGAACAACCACAAGTTTACCACATGTTAACCACATGTTTTGTCTTCCAGAAGATGTGGCTCTCCAAGGCCCAATTGGCCAGTTTTCGCCCGCGGATAAATGCTCCTACTCCCCGCCGCCTTAAATTTTATCCATCATCCTGGCCCTTAAGACCACCAAGACCACCAAAACCACTCAAGAAACGTCATCATTCTCAAAAGCAGCACTAGATCCCCCAAAAATCCTCCTACCCACCCTTGGACATACGATACCGAACCCGACGACATCTCCTGTTTACCCCCTCAAATGAAGCATTTCCCTCGTTCATGATAGAGTTTACATGCGTCCACATGCAACTCACATGCGATTCACGAATCACCAACTCCCGGACCCTCTTTACTGCACATTTCCCAGTTGCAATCGCATGAAGAGGCCCATTCGCAACTATACATCAACAAAGTATAGCGTGATCTGTCACCGCTTAAAATAAGGCAGGCATAGATCGATCCAACCGGCTTTGACACCCCTTAGTCACCAGGAAAGAATACCACCTAATTCTGTGTGGACGGTGGGCCACGTTCGCTCTTAGGGCTGTTAACCTGCAGTCAAAACAGACGCGGCACGGCTGGGAAGCATGGACTTATCCTCGGACGCGGATCTGCAATATCGTTTAGATCGTCGCTCTGATCATCACAGAAGGGGAAATATCCCATCTGCATCTCTTTCCAATGCCACGGACTCGGGAATCGGCTCGGCTTCTGTTGCTTTTGCGTCGGATGCGCATTTTGTAAATGAGGATGAGGATGAGAATGCCGATTTTCATTTGTCAAGAACTGATGAAAAAATTCAAAATCTCGAACAGCCTCCCTCCCAATCGTTCCGGAATGCCCATGATAGTCTCAGCCCTGATGCCAATCATCCGGATGAGGATGGAGCTGATAATGATCAGACGAAGGGACAGAAGAAAGTAAAAGCTCCGAGGTTGTATCATAAGAAATCGAGGAATGGGTGTCAGAGATGTAAGGCGAGACGTGTCAAAGTATGTTATCTTTCCATTGATTGGCTTTTTTTACGATTCAATTTTGACATATTCTTTTAAATTTCGATGTTGGTATATTGCCAAGAAATTGTGAGACTTACATTTCGCTTGTACCTAGGTATTACTTGATTCGATGGATGTACGAGGGAGCATTTAACGTTTCTTGATGTTAGTTGTTGTCTCACGGATATATTTTCTGATTTATTAGGAGATCTAGAGAAAGTTCTCTGACCAAATGATTTTTCTTTCATCGTTTCGCAATTATGGGTTTACTTTTGCATGTATGTAAATGAATGTCCGTTTTCATCCTATTCATCTCAGTATACAAATGTTTTCGATAGTCTTTCGATCTCCAATGTTCTGTGCAAGTAACGTTGGACCTAAAAATCCTGCTAATCAACGTATAGTGTGATGAGACAAGACCTGTCTGCAACAATTGTGTAAGGCATAGGTTAGGATGCGTTTACACCAAACCACCACCGCCACCACCATCAGCATTATCCCCACAGACCGTCAAAAGCAACTCTAGTAACCCCTCTACACCAGAACACATCAGTGTACAAGGTCTGGTTGAAGACCTCAGTAGTACTTCTGTTTCTCCGCAGGTGGACCTCTCAATACCACCAGCCCCAAGCCAAAGTTTCAGTGACGACCTTCCTGAATCTAGTGCTCGCCGAATGCTTGAACTAAGACTACTTCAAACGTATCTCATTCACACCTCTCCCACATTTCCCAGTTGTCACAACCCAGAAACTTTAAATCTCTGGTCGGTCGTAGTCCCAAAACTTGCTTTCGCATCTCCCAATCTTCTCTACGCCATGTTTGCTATCGCTTCTCTACACCTCCATGTACTCTCCCCTAACGATACCGAGATACAGAATGCACGTCAACATTA